ATTGGAGGAGACGATGCAATTGCCTTCGCAACTTGGGCGTTGCTGAGCCCAATGTTGTAAAAATACTGCAGTTTTGGTTGCAGCGTGCCACTGATGGATGTTCCACTCAAGGACACGCGCTCATCTATACTCTTGAGTTCTTTTTGGCTGAAACCTTCAGCTTCCAGGTAGTGCAAAATCTCCTCTGTTGTGTTCCCAGTCCTCAAAGCTACAGCCTTTTGAATGAATGTGTCTGCTCGTGCTGACATTCTCGTCAAGCGTGCAGTGTCCTGAAGGCCCCAACACTCCACCACTTCAGGTAACAGAACCTGGTCAAGCCCCAGCGATGTCTTTTTCAAGACTTCTGTCAGAGTTCGGTGCAGTGACCCCCGATTCTTGCCATACCAATTCCGTACGCTGATCAAGAGAACCTGATCTTTTAGTTGGCTGCTGTGTGTGTGAGTAATGCGAAGAACACAAGACCCTGGTGGCCCATATGCCAACAAAGCTTTGCTCTTGATGTGGTCCCTGGCCATGCCATCCCTTTCCCCATGGCGCCAGTATCCATCATATTCAACAAACAAGGCCGCATTCGGATCCTTCAGCACTCCATAAGCTGTCAAATCTGGCTCCAAGTAGTGTCCACCCCACCCTGGTGGGGAGGGAAAGCTTCGAAAAAGCTCGCCTATCGGTGTGCTTGGCATCAACAGCACGGCCAAATGAGACAACAGCTGCGCCTCCGCCACGCTGTCGACGCGTGGTCTGGGCCATCCACGTCGCCACCAGGTCGGTGGCACGGAGCTTCTGGGAGCTGAGCCGAGCGTCTGCGCCAAAGCGAGCAGCGCCAAGAGCGAGCATGGCGTGTGGAGCCGTGGAGCACGCGACATCCTTCGGCTTCTGTGATTCGGCTTGAGCTGAAGATGTTCAAACGATAAGCAAATATATATATATATATAGCTGGTGAAGACTATATACTGGCTGCATCTGACTACTGGAAGCTCGAGTTGTTGTGATACACTGCTGGACGTGTGCTGGATGGGAAATACTTCGTCACAAACAGGAGGCAAGAAATCATCCATAATCAATCTCTCAAGGCGTAAGAAACATGAGCACGGCATAGCACGCCTTCCCAAATCAAAGTCCCAAAATGACGTTAACTTCCAGAACAGCAAACATGGGAAATGAGAGCCTAATTAAGTGGATCTTAAGCATGATTTTTGACAGATTCGTCAGGCCAGCTAACCAGGCCTCTTGATCCACCACCTTTTCCTCTTCCTCTTCTTCCTCCTCATCCGCCACCATCAGGTAGGGATCACTCTGCGCCTCAAAACAACCACCGCCACCGGCCCACGACCGGGCGGACGGACCTCGGACGGTGACCATCGGTCTGAGGCCCTGGACCACGTCCTCGTCTGCGAGCTCGTCCTCGGGCGAACCGCCGATCCTGAGAGACAACGTGGAGACGGATGGCATGGACGAAATGGAGAGATCCATGGGAATCCATGGGAATCCAGTCACGTGGGAATTCTTCTACGAAGAGGTGAAGAATGATGAAGAAGTGACAAGGGTTGGGTCGCGTGTTGATGTTGACAACATGGGTGAATACAGAACATTAAAAGCAGGCGGTTTGGGATTCTTTTTGGTCAAAAGCTTCGACCTGAACACCGGGCTGAGAGGCATCTTCAGCTCGGAAGAGGCTTGTGTTTGACCAGCTTCGGCCGTCTCGCGACTGCCATAGTATCTGCGGCCCACCTTGGCCGCGACTCCTTTGATGGCAATCATCACCACAGCAGAAGGGTTCTTGGCGTGCTTCAGCCGATGTTGGCATGACCTCAGCCATCAATGTTTGAATGCTCACATCAGCTGGTCGCTTGAATTCGAACGTATGCCGTATGCCGCAAGTCAGGTCGGTTCAAAAGAAGTTAACGTTGAACATGAACATCAACTGGCCCGTGACTTTGCCAAGCCAAGCACATTTGCATCCAAAGCATGCAACCTTGTGCTTCAACCACTAGGCTCAGGGCTCAATGACAAAGGCAGCTTCATCATCTTGTAGCTTTAAAAGGCATTTCGCCGCCAGCTCATCCAGTTTAAAGACCCGGATGAACTTTTCCAGCGGTGCTTCCACTTTCTCCACCGAAGACGGTGGTAGATCCTCTGGCTTCTGCCGCCAGGGAGGCAACGCGCCGGAGTCCGCGCTGGAGTCCGCGTCGACGGGTGCGGGCAACGCGAGCTGAGGCGTTGAAGCCGGCTGCCCTGTCGGAAGCCAGGGATGCGAATCCAAAACATCGAATGAGAGGATCAATTCTAGCAAGTTGCATCATGTTGCATCTAATGATGTGTCAAATGCTGCTGTGGTTTGGTCTAGACATCGGGTGGGCCTCTAGGGTACCTTTGTGCTTCAGAACTGTTTCTTTCACAACAACAGAATGAGATCATCTCCAAACGATCCACATAACTCCCACCTGCTGTGCCAATCTTCTCCCTCAAAAGTCTCGCTAAGGTCTCCAAGAGCACGGCTTCTCGCAAGGCTTCCTCGCTCATGGGCACCACCTGCGGCACCACCTGCGGCACCACCTGCGGCACCACCTGCGGCACCATCTGCGGCACCTGCATCGGCACCACCTGCGGCACCATCTGCGGCACCATCTGCGGCACCTGCCCTGGCACCTGCATGGGCACGATGGGGACCATCGGCACTGGCAGGTATCCCTGCATCGTCCCCTGTGCCGGTTCCGCGCGGGGGGCCGGATCGAAGTCCGGCCCGGTACAACGTTCACACCATGAGTTAATACTCCCGGGTTGAGCCCAACTGAGGCATAACAACTGAAAGTGTTTGAGGCTGGTCTGTGGAATCAAAAGATCCGAACTTGCGGGATGTTTGGGCAGTTCTCAAACACAAGCACTGATTTGCTCTGGTGACTTACATGGTCTTGCATGCGTTGATTTAAATACTTCTCCAACACGGTTCACCTCCACAACCTTCATCTATAGAGACTGACTGTCACAGCGGCAGCAGCACCGATTTTGTCTCGCGCCTCTTTGCCGATCCTTAAGGCGTCCGCCTCTTTTCGAGCGACACGCCGAGAGAGACAACATGAAGCAATTGGCCACACGGGCCCTCCGCGAGCTCAGCTGTTCTGCGATCTTCGTGTCCTCCACGGCCTTTTCGGAACGAATTCGGAACAAGACCCCCCGGTCTCTGGGCCGACTGGGGATGGGAAATCATGGGGTTCTTCAAAGTGACCCACACTGAGCTCCCAGTTGGTTCGGTGGCTTAGGCCCTGTTTAAGGGTCACTTAGGAAATCAAAGGTCACTTTGAAGAAGCTGGTACATACAAGTCTATATTACTATAAGTTATAAGTTCTGTAGTTGAAAAGCTCCAGTTTCTTGACCGAATGAACTGCCACTGGACGTATCGGACCTCTGGCTTTTGATTGGGTCAAGGGTTTCCCTTATTGGTGAAGTCATCTGAGTCCAAACAGTTAATCTATTAATAGTTGATGAGGAGACTAGGAGAACAACTGAATCTCTTGGATGGAGCAGCAGTGAGAGTGCTGAGATGATATTACTGTTTTTACAAAGCCAGTAATGCAATCCTTGTTTCTTCTTCCCAAATCCTGGCCTAAAAGACCATCCGGTGACGCAAGAACAGCTCAAGCTAATGCAATCCATAGTCTCAAAAGAGACATTCAATCGATTCGTGCAAGGGAAACACCTGCTTGTTTTCACCAAACTGTGGGTTTCCTGCAGATTATCCATAAAACCATCGCTGGGAGACATGACATGAAGCAACTTCCCTGCACTGCACAACTCCATTGCCTCCTTGTGACAAAGTGGTCCCCCTCGTCATCCCTGCGGGTTCGGCGGACAATGGAACGTGGGGGGGGGCGTCGAAAACAAAAAAAAACAGTTCAAGAGCACTATCTTGTCATTTTGCCCCATAGGGAGCCACACAAAAGTAGGTCTTGTGATATCTTGTATAACTACCACGCGCATGACCACTTGCAAAGACCTACATGCCGGCAGAGCGGTTATAATCGATATAAGTCGGTCTCCTCGTCTGTGTATCGTTCTTCGTCATCGTCACCTACCTCAGAAGCTCAAGTTGAAATATGCGTTGGCACTTGAGTCGAGCAATGATGAAAGGACATGGGTCTTCCCCTTTTTTGCAACCAGTAACGCTATGCAACGCTAATTACAGTAGTTAAGTGATTGTCCCGATGTCTAATTGCAAATGACCAACTACTACGTTGCTTCAAATCTTGACCCCCACCCCACTTTTAGAATGCAGAAACTGGGTCCTCACTGGGTCCTCGCACAAGTTTGTGATCTCACACCTGCAAGCTATATGATCCGTCTGGAATGCCTGCGAAGGAATTGCCTGAGCACAGGAGGCGGTGTTCCCGTGTGCCGCTCCCCGTGTCGCCAATTTGATCAGGCAGGCTGATCTGCGTCGACGTCCAAAAACTGCGCAGTTAGCTTTTTTCACGAAAAAACTGTGGAGTCAAAAATTCCTTGGGGGTGAAAATCCGCAGGTGCCAGGCGCAGATGGCTTAAGAGGGAAGTTGGGAGAGGTCATCACTCACCACCGATGGTGCCGGCGTTACATGCACAGCCATCAAAATCTCACACAAGCTTGCGTCGTTCACTAAGTTCATCAAGACTCCCTAAAAACCAATCCTCTCAAACCGCTTTCACCTGATTCAAGGCACAGTCAACCAAGAATTACTATACATGAATTACATACACGAAGGCATACAAAGACTCAGTAGGTCCCTCCATGTGCCGCTGCTGTGGGGCGGTTTCCCGCGGCTTGCGCGCCTGCGAGGTCTTGCAGAGCGCCCGACGGCACCGAGATCCGCCAGGATCCGCTGCTGAGGCCGCCGTGCACCGAGCCAGGCTGAGCCGAGCAGGCAGGGACCCCGGTGGGTGATTCTTGGAGGTCTAAAACGTCTAGAAATCCTGAGAGGACATTGGGTTTGGGAGCCCAGAAAGAGCAGAACAAAAGTCCCAGGTGGTTCTTGATGGGCTCGGTGTTTGTGTGTTGTTTCTCGGGGATTGGTCCGATTGGTCGGTCCAAGCTGCGATGGGTAGATGCGTTGCATCACACCAACACACCCGAAAGCAGTAACCTTTCTGGACCCAATCCAACGCTTAGGAATCTGGCTTGAACGTCCTCATGAACGTCTTCCCGTAATGTGATTAGATCCTCTTGCCGTGAGCTTGACTTTCAAAACCCACCCCAAGCACCTGCTCAAGACCCAGCATAGATCCCATAGTCAGTCACAGAATATGCTTTAAAACAAACATATATATATATATATATATGCTCTAGACTCTAGACTCTACATCTTCCCATCCACTTCAGCCCCATACAGTGAACATCTCCGAGCGTACTCGGCGCCGCACGATGCTGGCCACGTTGTTCCAGATGACCAGCTCGGAGACATCGATGGAGACCTTGCAGGTTGAGTCCTTCCCGGGGGGACCTTGGTTGATCACAGAAACCAAACAGAATAGACAACTGGAGGGAGGTCTAATAGACAATCCGGGTTTGGACCCACCGGCTCAAATAGAGCATCAGAGCATCCAACATCACATAAATTGTTTGTGGTCCAAGAAGCTATTGTTTCAACCACTTATTGGGCACCAGTTCGGGAGTTCAAAACCTGTCAAACGCACCGGGCCGGTGTTTTTGGCTCACACTTTCACATCTGGGGATGGAAAAGGCACGAAAATCCGATGACTGCTCAAGAAAGACATGCAGCATCAGCGGCATCTGGAATATGCAAAACACAGCAACATAACATACCAGGAGATTGGGGAGATCCTTTAGGCTGTCTGATAACAAGAACTGTTCAGAGCGCTTTCCTCCAACTGACATGCAATCTCTCCCTTCATTTCTCAGAATTTGAGGCTCCACTCTGTCATATCTTGGAATGGAAACTGCAAATAAGATGGATTTCTACCCAAGCTATCTCAAGCTGGTCAAACACCGCACCCAACGGGGCCCCCGGACAGTTCCAGTGCCCAGGATCTGCACAGTGCCATTTCCGGCCTGGCACGTCACCACGAGACGGCTGCCATCTCCACGGGTCGTATGGAGATGTGCTACTAGTAGCATTCTTGCTACTAGTAGTAGTGCCAGGAGCTACTAGTAGCTTCTTGCTCCTAGTAGCGATGCCCTCTGTTCCTGGTAGCTTCTTGTTCCTGGTCTGTGTTAATCAATCTGCTGAATGTAACACAAGAACATCGAATATGGCGTCTCCTAGTATGAATTGCACTGGCAACGAACGTCGGTAGCATTTTACGTTATTGACACACACTGACTTGATACAGATACATGTTGCGCCATGTTGCAGTTGTCATCCAAACCGTAATTGATCATAATTGGCCAAATGGGTTTGGCTTTGAGTCGTCCGGCCCGTAACCGTCAAGGATCAGGCACCCGATGTCCGAACCATCTGACGCTCGCTCAGGTCGCTCCTGGATGTCTTCATCGAAGGTCAGGGAGATGTTCACCAGCTCGGCCACCTGGGGACGAAGAACGGTCTTAGTGCTCAACTCTACGCAACGCAACGGGCTGGGCGCGGTGGTGGTGTGAAGAGGTGGGAAAGCACATCCCATCGGTGATGAGCGTGCGTTCACGTGCGTGCGTGCGTTTTGGAGCTCATGGCACTCAGGCACACACGCCAGCTGCATTGTGAACTGGAGTGGTGCTCACCAGAAGTGGTGCAGTTGAATCGTAGATCACGTGCGCATCCATTTTGGTGGCCACCATCTCTGTGTACCTGGCACATTTAGAAGTGGGAGTGGGGGTGAGGTGACATCAAGTGCTCCTTGCCAGCATGTTGCAAGAACGCATGGAGACTCTGATGGCAAAAGCAACTGCAGTGCCTAGTGGACTACCTGACTGATGTAAGCAGTGTATGAGACTAATGTATAGAACTATCCATGTTCGCCGAATACGGTGACTAGAGCAGTAGCGAGACATCCACTTGATCCGACAGTTCGTTGCTCCGTGAAGGCCAATTCGCATCCTGGATTCCCTATTGGCTCAGTCTAGGGAGCTGGACATGAACTGCAAACTAGGACATGTCCGATTTCATTCCGAATATTTCCAATTTCCTAGGGTCTAGGGAGAAGGACATGAACTGACATGTCCAATTTCATTCCATAGATCCATGGAATCCCAGCACTCTAGGACCATGTGCCCCCCAGTGGCTGCATCAACCCTGCAAGTGGAAATTCCACTTCGTGCCGGGTCACCCAATGGCGTTCTTCTTCGACAATCGGACTTCCAAGCTGCTGTTCTGAGCAGACATGGTACCATCGTCTTGTGCCTTAATACATAAGACGGATCATCCATCCCAAAAGACACTGTTTATCTGCAATATCCCTGTAATTGCGGCTGTATACTATGTTGAATGCCAAAAGTTGAAGGAACAGCTGTTCATGGAGACTAGGGATGAATCTCGTGCTTGCCACTTGAACCCTGTCGTTCAAAGACGAAGCACACCGCAATCTAAAGGAAGCTCACACAGCTCCCGAACGTTCTCAGTTCTGAACGAAGCAATAGACGTCATACTCCGTGTCCCTGCGGTATCAGGTGATGTACACTTGACCCCAAAACCGTCAGAATGACATCTTTTTCCTGGTTCCCTTCGCCTGTTGAGCCCCTGAATGACCACATCGGTGGATCCGGCCTCGCGCCGCAGCCGATTCTGGAGTGATTCTCAGGAACTACCCAAGCGATTGGGTACACTGACCCACTAACATGGAAGTGGATGGCATAGGCCCCAGAAAGACTCATTGATATAGCTCTACAAGCAGAGGGTGAACTCCACGTCCATGTGATGTGTTTGTGGGAGTGTACCTTTTCTCTCAGTAACTGTAGGTATTCATCTGTCAGTATCGCCTTTCTGTGAAGAGTTATCAAGAACTTCTTTTCAATTTCTGCTAATGGCTGTGACACGGTACACTGCTTAAAGTGCTTGACTCCAGTTGTGGGGTTCTTCTGCAAAGTGATAGAACATCTTGGCAAAACGGCCCTCGAACTAGGAGCCCTGCAAGTGCTGGGGACTTGAAGCCCAAGGCTACCTCGGGCATTGCACTTGTGGCAACGCGCAATGTTGTTTCTGATGAAACTGGCAAACAGAACATCATCAGTGGCAACAACATCCAGGTTTTTTGGGACTGAGTGCCTGTCTATCATGTCAAGTGGGACATCCGGCCAATCCACCACGTCTTTCTCGTTTTCACCGTTCTTCCCTTTAGACCATGCCATGCCTGTTGCTGCTAAGCGAAGCATGCGATTCTGCCATGTCACGATTTGGCTGATGCTTGGCGGTGGTTGCAAGTCCAGGACCGCCGTACACCACACGGTTCCGGCCTGAAAGAGATCAATGCACACTGTTAGTGGATGTCTCTAAGGCTTGCGTTCAAGACACCTCTTGTTCTGAAGCAAACTCATCATCATGCAACCAACACGGCTTTATCTGTCTGCTGTTGAGTTTGTGTCCCCTATACATCAAGTTGTATCAAAATAATTATATGTCCTTCGCACACATGGCCGCATTGGACACTCACGTGCTTTACACGGTCATAACCAAAGAAACACACTAGATTTAAAAACTCTGGGAATTTTGCATGACTTCTTTAGCCCAGAAAACACACGTACCCAGCCTCGTCCATGGACACAGTCACGGTCACAGAATCCTGATATCGCAACTAGAATGTTGACCAGACATGGTCAAACGTTAGGTAGTAGAAACCAAATAATCCGAATACCAATGAATACCAGGACCTGGCTGACAGGTCGCTTCACCGAAAAAGAAGAGCATCGAACTCGTTGGAGCCATCGAAACAGACATCAGCTCGCCGTGTTCTTCTACTGCGAAAGGATCGGACAATGGCCAGGCCTGGGTATAGGACACCGCATCCACCACGGTGATGCTTGGTGGGGTCAAATCCAAGGTGTACCTGGCCGGGTGTTTCCATTTGTGCTGATTGATGCGATCTTCGATCGATGGGCCTTGGCCGTGCTAAATGTCATGTCCAAGTGTGGGAGTGGAATTTTGTTCCCTTTCCGATGGGAATGGACCCAACTTGCGATGGATGTGCATCCCTTCCCTCCCTGCACAACGGTTTTCGAGCCGGCTGTGGGCTTTCGGGTTCTTCGCGTGCTGGACAGCGTCATTAAAAACAGATCAAAGACATGATCGAACCTGGTCCCCGATTTCAAAGGGAGCTGTGGTTTTGGTTTGAGGGTTCCTGAAATTTGGTCATGAATCAACAAGAATCACATATAGAAGACAAATACGGTATCCTGTATCCCTTGTAGAAATACGGTAGGATCTAGTCTTCTGTAGTCTTCCAAAAAAAGGGAAGAAGGGGATTCGAACTCAGTGGAGACATGTCTCAAAGACTGGATGATTATTGGGATGTCTATGCACACTTCCTGCTTCAAAAAGAGTGTAATATCACCTGAGACATTCATGCACAAGTACTATCACGTGTACGTCATTTGAAAAAATCAGAGTGCCTGCCAGTGGCTTCAGTGAGCACCGGGCTGCCCTGGTCACGATCGCCAAAACAGTGAACCCCGGTCGACCGGTTTTTGAATTGAATATGGCAGAGGGGAAGCAACAATGGACCAACGTACTAGTAATATCATCTAATCATATGAGCGTTGTGAATTTGAATGGATAAAGAGTCATGGACCAACTAACTTTGTTCGCTGATGTTGACTCTTCATCCTCTACAAGTATAGGATTCAATTCTGTTCGAACACGTCGATCTGGGTTGGCGATGGGAGTACGGCTTTGGAGCTTCACTGGGTCCGTGTGTTCAATTTCGCATCAGGCGGCATAACTTGACATAACTGGAGATGCAGGTGCCTCATCGAAGGCAAACACGCTGAACTGCTCTAACATGCTCTAAAGAAACTTCAGATCACATTCAGCGTGCTGAGCTGGTTTTTCTACCTACTATATAATATGACTCTATCCATCTCTATCCCAACCTAATTACGGTGTGAAGTCAGCATCCAGCTCCTCGCGCGACCCACTCTATCACGTCTCGCTCGACTTGACTGGAGTCTCGCCTCGTTGTTGCCGCAGGTGGGACTTTCGGTGCTGTTCCGCTGGAAGCAGCCGTCTTCGAACTCATCGTCCTCCGCTGCGCAGTAGACGTAGTACAGCACCTCGCGTCGCGCGTCGAAGAAAGGGGGTGGAAGTGGGTGGACCCTTTGGGAGCAACATGAGTCCCAAAGACTCATATGTATATCGGAAGAAAAAGAAATAGATTTGTTTGACAATCATGCGCAAAAGTTACATTGATCCCTTGAAGATCTTGAAGCCACCCCAATGTAACGTGAACATGCCATATTATGACTGGAGTGTCGGGGTATGGAGTTCGACGGTCTGATGTTGTTCGTGAAATGGGTGAGTGCAGGCATACGAGGAATCATCTGAGAATCGATTGCTCCAACAAGTCGGTTCCTGCCAGTTAATAATGAGGTAAGCCTCCTGCAAAGCACCTGAACCACTTGGACCTCTGCACTTGCGGCTCAAGTCCCCAACTCTACCCTTCACGCCGCATAATTTTGGTGGACTTCAAAACGAAGTAGCACTGGAAGAGAGAAATGGCACATACTCGCGCAACGCCTGAACACCAGCCCCCACCAAACGGGGCCACCAGGTACCCACACCGACCCCCCCCGATACACGTCGGGTCACGAGGAAAAAAACACCCTAGTAGGGATCCAAGTACATTCTCGAAATGTAACTTGGACCCTCCAAACCTACATAACAGTGTCTCCAATCACCTTGTCAGCGCACATGTGGATCCAGACGCCAAACGAAACACCGCCGGGTGCCGGCGCGATCCCCGGGCGCTGCGCGCGCCTCGCGCGCCAGGCCGGTGACCGTGATCTGAAAGTTCCGGAAGGCCGACGCCGAGAAGCTCCGCAGCGCCGAGTCCGAGGGGATGTCGAAGCTGGGCGCGGTCGGTTCGAAGGCAGGGAAGATGGGGACAGCAAGACGTGGAGGGAAGGGGGGATGCAGGATGATGCAGGTATCATGTGACTTCCAAAACATCGGCATATCGTGTCAGTTCATCACCAGGTAGTCAGCTACCAGTTATATATATATATATATATACACACCAGAAGACGTTTCACTGTCTAGGAGAACATGTGCTCTCCCAAGGAGAATGACCTGTGCCCCATTTCCACGCAGATGAACTCACCAAACCTTCTCCTCTCCACCCGGCCACCCCGGTGCCACCCCGGTGCCACCCCGGTCCCACCTGCCTAAAGGGTCCGCCCGTCGCAGCGAAGACATCGGCGAAGGTGACGTTGGCTCCAGGGTCCACCTGATATGCAGCACCTCCAGCAAAACTGGCATGAGTTTTGAGGCCAAGATCAGAAGAAACTCTTTTATACTGAGGATTGAGAAGGATGAGGAACCTCAGACCTCAAATAGTGCGGCTTGTTAGAAAAGGAATGGATCCCTACGAAGCAACCGGCTACTTCGCTGAGAATCATGAACGATTGTCAAAAAGACGTTCCTCACTTGGCCAAAGTAGGAATTCAAACGATATGTTTAAAGAGATGGTACATTTAAATACTGAAAGTGGTCCAGTGATGTTCTTCGCTCATCTAGATTTATAGGAAGTTTCCTAATCTCAACGGTTTTCTGTTGTTGTGCGTTTCCCCATCGTTGATCCCGTGCTGGAAAAAAGAAACAATAGTTAAATAGGAGGCCCCTGATTCTTGCAACCCCGTCCCATGTCATTGGCCCAAGGAACAATACGCAGTGCCCGGCTCGTCCAGCTGCAAGGTCACAGTGATGGAGTCCTTGCACGAGCTAAGACATGAGCAGCCTTGTTTGGCCGTGTTCCACTGCCTGAGGTATCTACCGAGCAGTGAAAACATATGAACACTAAGTAGCCCATAAACCAGTAATCCTGAACAGCGAGGTAGTTCAGCTAGTTTCATCTACTGTACTCACCTTTGGCACTCTACTGAAGAACGCCTGCACCATCCAAAATATATAGTCCTGAAACCACACCTGGTATGTCTAGCAAATCCTACCAGTACCCTAGCCGTCAAAGACCCTTTTCAAAAAGGTTGAGCTGGTGTTGTAGTGCAGAATCCCAAGTAAAACAACGGCTCTTCAGTATGTACTATAAAACCAACGCTGGGCGCCGAAGCCTAAGGATGTCGTCGACTCCGTCCTCGCTGCGACTCTCCACCTCAATGACCGCCAAGACTGGTGGCGTGATGTCCCAGGTCCGAACCTCACGGCCACATGACACGACGAGAAGTGATGGTGGCGAAAGTGACAGATACGATCGGCAAGGGCAGCTCTGGGAAAAGGGTCTCCAAGTGATGATACTTGGATGAAGATGGATGAAGATAACAACCTCTGAGCATCTGGATACAACAACTTATCCAGATGTGGGATGTTAATGGAGGATCTTCTCCAAATGTTTCTATCACGCTCGCCTTGGATGCAGATGGATGAAGTGTCTGTGTGCATCGTTCGCCGATCGTTCCCCCTGACGACATGGTGCCTTGCTGCCGATTTTCACAACACCATCCTTTCATTCGATGCTACGACTCAAACTCTTGGGCTACGACATTAGCACTGTGTGTACGCAACTCTATATTATATACCATATATGTATAACACGATGGATTCCAGTCCCCACTACATGAATGAGCAGTGTTTCTATGGGTCTATGCTGTTTTGTCGACTACTACCATCCTTTGTGGCTGCTGCTTACACACTCGGTAAGTTGAGACACCACAGCCTCCCAGAACTGCCAAAAAAGTCAACCCCCGAAGCGAACATGGACCCAGTTCACCACCGGTTGTGTTGGGAAAAACGTCCATCTCCAGTTGCGCTTGCCTTAGAAGAGGGGGACCAAGTAGAAGGGAAAGTATGTGATGTAATGGGCAAAAAAATTGGATATTCACCTCCCACGTCTGAATTCCAGGTGTGATTCGCACACGTCCACCAGACTCAGAACGACTCAGAATAGGCCCTTTTTGGAGGTGGTCGTACTAGATTCTTACACCCAGTGGCATCCTGAGCTTCCCGGCCATGTCCACCAGGCCACCATTGGCCACGCTAGCGAGATCTGGTGCATGCACCAGCTCCGCGAAGCGGGTCTCCACGTAGCTCTGGACCTCCCATAGGGAGACGGTGTGCTGCACACAGTCTCTCTGTGCCAGTCTTTGCCGAATTTTGTGAGACCTCCAGCGTCTCTGGAGGAATTCTGAGGTACCGGGCCATGTAGTTCGGAGCATCCTGCGACGCCCAAGGTTGGAATCACAGGTTCTGGATGGTTTGATGCTGACACCAGAAGACCAAGAGATGCAAATCCTCTGATGGGGTCTTGGTTTAAGGTTTCGGATGGCTTCAAGTCTTCCCTGATCCAAAAGAGTGTGGACAAACATCAGCGTCAGAGAGCCTTGAAATGACCTCGAGGGTTCAACGAAAGCAATCTGGCAACATGGTGATGGCCGGCGCTGTCTTCGCTCAGACTAGCTGACGTCTGTTGAAACCAAGGCCGCTTCGCCCCAGGAGTCGCGACTAAAGTGAGCTGGTACATGCCTCTCATCTAAAAGGTGCATGGTGGAGGTGGAAGCTTTGTATGCCCAATGTCCGATGCAATTGCGTTCTTTTTGCCTGAAACAACAGCGTCTGAGATAATTGTTCAAGGAAAGAAAATTCACAATTGCATGTCACGGAGCCCCCAACAGCATCTAGAAAAAGGCCATCGAAAACGGATAGTGTGAGCAGGTGCAACCAGAACAAACCATACTTAAGGGTCTTATGTGGGTGATCAACCTTGTTGAAAATGTTGCGTCATAAATTGCTCGATCGGTGAAGTACAATGAACGATCGTCGAAGTGCATCGAAGTACCCGCGTCAACACGTGCGAAGAAGCCTCGAAGCTGCAAGCCACAGAGGATCCGCTGGGACGACAGGCGTGCACTTGTGCACTGTCCTGGGTTTGGCAACCACTCAATTGGTGAATGAGGACGTCCCATAGCAATGACATCTTTCGATTCCAATACACATTCAACAAAAATCGGTCAATTGTATAGTGCCATGTGCCATGTTCCTACATTCCATTCTACTCCAAATTCTAACCCGACCTTGCAAACGAGACAATGACATCTGGATCAACTCCCAAAGTTCAGACCCACCATCCAACATCCGGATATCTCCAGCATGTTCATTTCTTCCGCCATGCGCGCCGACCTTGGCCCAGCAGTAGACATCGTAGGCCGTGCCCTCCGTCAAGAGTGGCTCATCCACATGATTGCGAAGCTTGTTGATGTCGATGGATGAGGTGGACGAGCCCTCAGGCTAAAAAGGAGCAGGATCCGATATACGGAGTCATTGCGTTTTTACTTTCCATCTTTCGGATGAAAAGGACTTCGAAAAGAACACTGGTCCAAAGAGTTTGAAAGGAAGAACATGGAGACACATCAATTAGGATTTGCCAAGTGGCCTATGTCTGCTTCAGGATGGCTTTACTATGCTGGACGTGCTGGGGCTGCCACGTCGTTCTCTGTCAAGTAGCCCGCTTGAACAATGAGCGACACATCCAAATGTGTGGAACCGGAATCGGTGCGTGTGGCTCGACCTTCAGACGGACACAGCTCCTCTGAGGCTCACATCTATTTGGGGGCCCACTGGAACACTCATCCGCTCTCTCTCTCTCTCTCTCTCTCTCTCTGAGAGAGCTTACCTTTTCGCACCGCCATGCTTGACCGCGACTGAGCGCCACGCAGTAGGCCGTCCCCGGCTCGTTGAGTTGCAGGGTGACCGTCAGCATACTATCGCTGACGCCTCGAACCTGGCAGCTGCTGTGCTCAGTCATCTCTTCATCCGACTTCTTCATGGCATAGATCAATCGCTGCAGATAGTACAGCAAACACGAAGCTTTTCTGCGTTGGAGTAAGTGTTTGAACAAATTCAATCTTGTTCTTTGGAGGTTCGACAGTACGAGTATATAGAGCAATATTGAAAAACATGGAACAATATCAAATGATGTCGTCAGATGTATGATTGATGCCTGAATTCAGAACAAATCAGAGCAACCAAGGCACTATCGTTTTCAGAACAAATTGTCTTGTTTGTTTTCCGTACCATTTCAACCAGTTCAGACCAAGGCACTCCCAAGACATCGAAGATTGGTGCGTCGACGTCACGAGTGATGATCTGACCGATGGAATCCCTCACTGCTCCCATTTCAGTGAGCCTCAGCAAGCAGCATTGCAGAACTCCTCTCTCATACAATCCTCCTGTATATATGTCATACTATATGTCATTACAAATTGTTTTACATAGGGTATATATAGATGCTGTGACAAATACTCATACTACTATATATCATTGAACATTTAGTTGTAATTAAGCAAAGAAAAGCTAGCTCTTGTGCCAATGATTGACGCCCCACTCCACTGGGCCGCCCGGGCGTATTGACGTTCGGCACCGTGCAGCCGGTGCAGTCGGGATTCGTCGCGCGGTCCTCGGCGCCGCAGTAGGTTTCGTAGGCCGTCTCCTGGCGATGGCGGAACTTGGGATGGATCTGCCCTTTTTTTCTGCAAAAGGAGGAAGATGGTGAGCACGAATGTGAAGAGGGGAGAATTCGTTTTTGGTCCTTGGTCATTGTTCAGAAAAGAAGTGTTTTTAGCGCTTTTGGGGAGCTTTTTGATGAAGAAATATCCTTCATGGTCACCTGTAGCAAAGAGCCAAGCCTCACCAATCCAACGGAAGCTACTAGGGGCTCCTGGCCTTACTACTAGGAGCAAGGACGCTACTAGGAGCAAAGGGCATCGCTACTAGGAGCAAGGACGCTACTAGGGTAAAGGGATTCAACCCCATCCATGCTCCAGGGAAAGTGTCTGTCCAGCTTGACAAGCTTGACTGGATTCCAAGCTCGCCGGAAGTGCTGAATCCAGTGGCAGTTCCAATGTACCACGCACTGCAACTGACACCTGACAGTCACACGCAAATCTTCAGTGTGCTTGGGCTTGGTGCCTGAAGGAAACTTTGCAGAAGTCACAAATGAATATCTCATCATTCCTCAACTGCTTGCTCTTGTCGTCCCCAAACCAACCCCAAACCACTCGCCTCAAAGTTCTTGTTGACGTCCATGTCACCCACCAGCGTCTTAGAGGCCGCACCATGAGTAAATACCTCGCCCAAGGCAACCACGTGCCGAGGCCCACGCCGACCCAGGTCCCGAACCGACGCGTCTGGTCTTCAAGGTCCGGATCCGGCGCACCCAGCTGGAACTCACCAGTTGGCCAATGGCTGTTGGAGAAAAGCACCAAACAGTGCCTGAAGACACAGTTGGCCAAAGTCGTTGACCAGCTGGCGCACTGTACATAAGTGAGTGCCACAAAAGTGAGTGCCACAGCAACAACATGTGACGGTGTGCTTGAGACATCGGACTCCCCACCTGGTTCATCCATTTGAAGTGTCCTGAGTTCGAAATTCTGAAGAAAACCCGACCAATTCTCCACCTGGGCCGCCCTGCACGGTGATCTGATTCGGCTCCGCGGCGCTGGCGCGCACCACCGAGAGCTGCGGCGGCGTCAGGTCGTTCACTTGCGCCGTGAGGAGCGGCAGGACGTTCCGGTTCGGTACCCTGACCGGCTGAAAGGGTCGGATGAAGGCAGCGGTCTGTGTGCGTTTTTGGGTCTCACTGAGCGTCGGGCAAAGGATAGATATTGTCATCCTGCACGATGTGAGGATCATGAAACGATAAAAGTGCTGCGAAAGGAGTGAAACGAGAAGTCGAACTGTTTTGACTCTGCGCTTGAGTCGGTTAATATCTGAAGATATTGCAAGGGGGACTGCAGTGAGTTCCCCCCATAAAGCATCGACAACAGAGCCTCTTTCCACTGTCCCTTTCTTCAAGCCACACTCCCTGAAACAATCATGGTTACCTGGATGGCATGGCTCCGAGTTCGGAAGACGACTTTCCTCTACCAAGAGGGGTAGCTCCGCTCCTTGGTGCCTTAGCACTGACCTTCACCGGACGAGGGAGGTCAAGCTCACGCAAGACGGCAAGACGGGGATCTCGACGTCCGAGAGCTCTCCTCCAAGTGACAATGTACGTCGTAGGACTGGCCACGAAGCAAGTCAGGAAGTGTCAAGATCAGACCGGAACCTCAGCTCTCCGGAGACCGCGGGAGACCGCCTTTGGTGGGTTCTTTGACAGTCTTTTGAGTATGGCAGAAGTCTGGCAGTCTGGGAGTCTGGAGAAGTCTGGCAGTGAATGCATCTCGAGAATCATATCCATAATGGAGTTCGAGTAATGGAAATGGAAGCATCTAGGCAAACATCCGAGCCAAGCAAAAGAATAAAGACCTGACACCTTCCTCCATGATTTCCAGTTTCTTTTGTCTGCTTCAGCCAGACTGAGAATAAGGAAATGGCAAGCTCCAGCATCGAAGGAGGCTGCAGAGCCTCTGGTGAGAGCGAGTGGCACGCCACTGATACAGAGGGAGTTAAACAGTCAAACCCTTCAGCAAGGTGAGTGAAGACCATTCTCCGAGAACCTCTTCAGTTGCATGTTCTTATAGTTGCTGCTCGAGAGGTGGAAACAGGCTTTCATAGGTGTTCCTGATCTTTCATTGACATGCTAGCCTGTTTGAACATGAAACAGGTCCTAGTGTTCCTGGACTTCCAGCAGGGTTTCAGGCTCAAAAAGTCATCAAAGAGGGTTTTGGGCTCGTGCCTCAAAAAAAGGACGTGAATAGATGGATCTAACCCTTATGAATCTTGGTACTTTTCTGCTTCACCCAAGTGGCGCAAAGTTCATGATCCGCACCGCAAGCTCACAGAGTCTGATGCGTGTCGACGTGACGAAGACCGATCGCTGCCAGTCCCCACACCACCGATCACCGAGTATCCCGGACAGTTTTGCGATTGCCCTTCGATGGCCACGGTGCTCACGTGTGGTGTAGCTTCGCCTGGGCGCACACACGTGACACACATTGGAAACACACGTGGATCTTTGTTGAATAGTTGACTAATAACATACAATAACTACCTAGAGCCCATTTGACCTCTGTTTTGAAAGGAAAAGACAATTTTTCGGCTCCAAAACAAGGGTCAATCAGGTTCTAGGTATATGATCATTATGGAAACAAATGGAATGTCTTTCCGGACCGGTGCCAGTCAACATCAAGATCCAGAAGTTTAAGACATGCATGATTTCGTTCCTGATTCTCAAAACACTAAGGGCACCCAGTTCTCCAAAAGTCAACGCCGGAGACTCATAGGCTGAACCCAGAAAAGGAATGACAGGTTCAAACAAACGCATCTGGTTCGCCCTCATTGGATCATTGGAGATCATCTGAATAACTCATTAAGTACAACATAGTACAGTATACACAGTCGGATAAATACTCTTCTCCACCTAAAAAACACGGGCCCCCCTATTAACAAAAACTCGGGTGTATTCTTTTTAAATAGGGGGTCCCTGAAATTGGGGATGTCCAATATAGGGTCAGTGGGAGGATCCTTGAATAATTGATTAACCAAAAAGTCACCCAGGAGAATTTTGTATAAAATCCTTTATAAGGTCATGGTGGATAGACAGGGTGGACAGAGGTGGGCAGTTGGGGTTGTTTCTGAAAAAAATACACCAAAATCGGCCATGTTGGTCGTTTAGTAGCGGTTTGAAAGGGCGGTAAATAAAACACCTATAAACCGTAATTTAGGGGTTTCCGACATGGTGCCTTTTTAATAGGAGAGTGTTTGTTAATAGGTACTTGGGATGAGTCTAGCCCGGACATTTTCACGAGTGCTAAAAAGCACACTTGGAAGTCGTGGGGCCCCGAATTTGAAAAACAATTGACACATTGAGTTGGATGATTGATCATCCATCCATCTCCATCTATCCATCCATTCAATCCATTGAGATGCATGAGATGAACACCTGCTGGCCTCATCCATCCAGACAACACGTCCCTCCGCTTCTTTTTCGCCCTCTCTGGCTGAGTCGGAGGCCACTGAACACCGCCAAACAGTAGAGCGTAGAAGCCTTCAGCGTGGAGGGTCACCAGAGGAACTGGCTTGGGACAGAATAGGACGGTAAGACGGGCAGGTGGAGTGGCGGATGGCCATGCATGTTTGCTTCGCGGACATAAGATGACATAAGATGGATCAATCTTCCACTCGATGCTATGCCAAAAAGACCCTCCGCTCTGATTGCGGGACTTGCCGCCTTCGGCCTCGGATCGCTTCCGAGCACGCCTCGTCCACGGAGAAGAGCACTTCCAAGCTCGATTCGGAGCTGGTTGGCGCGTAGAGGGACCGCGCGGTCGCCGTTGGCCTTGGCAGGAGGCCAGCAGGGCAGCCATTGTTGAGAAGGGCGCTCCAGAGGGAGTGTAGAGATATTGTCGTACTGTGCGTAATATATGTACTATCATAGTTCTGCATTAGTGTCATGCAAAGCGTGGAAAAGTGTTTAGTGTGGTTAATAACGATGCAATTGGGATTTGGTCCCCCAGTTGCTGCACCTGTCTATTTCTCTTGTGACACAACTCAAAGCAATAGTGAGACTTCTCTCTAAACAAAGCGCAAGCAGTCCTTACTGGTACAGTAGAAGCCAGCAAAGAAGGTGTGATTAATCAGCTCAGCTGGATCAGCTCAGCTCATTTTTCTTCAACTCCTACACAAGTATGCACATGTGTGTAGAAAGAAGCATTCTGCAGAATCAGTGATCTTTCTGACCTTTCTAAGCACCCGGACGCAGTCAGGTCCAACGTCAGGGCCGATTGTCCCGAGGCCACGGTGGCTGCGATGAAACTGTTCACCTCGGCAGAGATGACGATGAAAGGAGGTCTGGCAAACTCCTTCAAGCGTTGGATTCGGAACAAGTGCAGAAACAATCAGGGATCACCTAATTACCCAATATTCTGGGGATTGTTCTCCTCTAACTGAGTCAACTCAGGCAAACAAAGGCCATAATAATATGGCATGATATGAGCGTGTTGGACGAATTCAACACCCCTCCCAGGCCCCAGGCTCTCGTTCTTCTCAAACCTGCTCTTTTACCCAACACGTCGCGCCACCGCTCGGTTTCGCCCGCCCAGCCTCCGCCAGGGTGACCTTGTTTGGCAGAGGAGCTACAAAGTTCGGTGAGCCATCACCTGGCAGTCTGCCACGTTCGATGAGCATCCACGAAACAACGAAGACGAACAACACATCTGGACACACCAAGTTGGGGGTCCAAGCAAGCAAAAGAAGTGAATTGCTTCATCTGGGTTTTTTGCCACTGGTTCAGTTCGTTCACCCCCCAAAAAGCTAAAAATAACCGTATTCTTCATCTTGCTTCCTGGACGCTCAAACAGGCATGTCCAAGGTGCTGAGTCTCCGTGGGAAAGTATCCCATATGGCATGTCATTGAGAAAGGCGAACAAGCCGGTGAGGTCTGACTTCAGTTTACTGCATCATGTGAAGGACAACTTCAATTTCTTTCCTTCACAACGGATCTGGAGGTGAAGTTCAGTTCCATCCATTGCTCGGTCCTTGAACACACAAAATGGTTGGTTTTCTAGACAAAAGTAGACTTTGGGTACGTACTACTTTCGGTCTATCCCATTACCAGTAACAGTGGACCTTTCTCTAAAATAGTGATATGTGTTTACTGACTGTTCCTGGCAATGGGCTACACCCAAGTGAATAGAATTATCGTGCAGAAACCTGGGTTTCATTGCCACAGCTGAGCCGGCTGAGCTCAAGTTTGTCGGCAGCACCATTCGCGTAGGCCGCTTGGGTACGGAGGTCCCAATTGTCTTGGGCAAAACACAGCATCACGAACTGCGTCCTTAGCCGGTGCTGGTTAGACCGGTGCCTGAAGACTTGATCCATGTTTCCGGGCAGTAGAGTTTGGAACTGGGAAGCTCGATCAACTTGCCAAATGCACAAGGTCCTTCTTTAGGTCGCCCAAGTAAGTCTAGCCAAAGAAATGCTTATCAAACGCCAAAGAAATATCGACTCTAGTGAGCAGCACTGAGAAGAATGGACACAGTTGACCTTGGTGTTCCAGATGTCCATCCACTGGCATCTAGCATTGCTTCACTTGTGTATCTCTTCGCCTCTTCTGGGGCCAGGACTCCGCAGGGAGTGGCGACCCGGTGCCGGTCGCCAGCGCGATGCGGTTCACCTCCACATAAACCTCGCGTTCGGCGGCTCTCAAACGTGGTCCCCGGCAGGGGAAATGGGATTCTAGATTGAGCCATCTTGGTTTGGTGAGAGTACCAATCTCCGTGCCATGTGTTGCAGCCGTATTTTTGTTGAAATCTTCCTCACATGTTACACAAATGCCATGGTTGGTCCTCGACCTTCATCGCCGCAGAAATCCGAAAGCAAACAAATACCAAAAGGAATGATCTCAATATATCTCAACGATCTCCATCTCTGACCCCCGAAGGAACGGCGTAGAAGAACGGCAGAGCGGAGCAGAGCTTTTGGCAGAGCTTTCAGCAGCTCTCTGAGTGCCCGGCATCCACATAAGCCTGTGGCACTTGTGTCTCAAAGCGGGTTCCCTGCGCCACCGAACCTGCACCGGCAAGGCCACGAGAAAGGTGACACCCAGTGGCCATGAGACAAACAGGGTCGGTGAATGTTGCCTGCGGCTTGGATGGTCATCTAGCTGTGGGAAAAAACTAAGTGACATCATTTCTGTACTTGTGCAAACATGAGCTTCAAATCTCTCCCTCCGAATCCTACAGGGGGGTTTACCAAGATTCACTGGATTCACAATGAGAAAGAACATGAAAGAACACCGATTCCATCCGTTCAGAAACACAGAAGGGTAGCTTTGCATACTTTGGCATTGATGTCTCAATCTTTACCTAAGTTCCTTGCTACCTCTCCTGCTGCCGTGCCTCCCGTCGTTCGACGTGTCGTCGACTCTGCTCCGTCCGAGGGGTCGGCCCGAACGGTTCAGGCTCCGCCGCGTTGGGCCTTTGATGTAATCCTCGTAGTAACACTGCGCCGTGTTGTCGGTGTCCTGTAGGTCGCTGGGGCGGCAATAGGAGGAGGAGCCACTGTCAGGTACCGTTGCAGCACACCAGACCTCAGCTGTCAGGGTCACCTCACGGCGGTGGAAGGCGACGCAGGTCTGGGAAGGCGAAAGGGGAGAAGAATCTCCCCAAGGAATACCTCACTATCGTAGCATGATCACAGATGTAAGATGTTTTTTTATAGCATGATTCCATCCTTCCCTGGAATCGGTGGATCTTATGTCTGATCCCTCCACCATTTCTGGGGCCTCCGGCGGTGCCCGGCTCGTCGAGCTGTAAGGTCACCAGGATTTGCGTCTGAGTGCGGAACTTTGGGGCGGCCGCGATGTTGACTCATAATATAAATATAGTAGGTCAACGACAAATAGGTATATAAAGCATATGGTAAACTTCCTGATGTCTGAGCTGCTTTGTGTAGCTTGTTTTGCTTCATGCAGCCGGGGAGGAAAGGTGGGTCCTGCCAGTGGCCTATCGGTTTCCGCGGTTTCCACGGGTTTCCCTCGGCCGGTCGTCGGCTTCGGAACTGCACGGTTCTGCAAGAGCCCTATCATTCAATCTGTCGCATGAAAGAATTACAGTGATGTAAAAGGATGTAAAAGGGACTTCAACTGGGACTTCAATAGCTTGGCTATTGAAGGAGTTGAGCCGTGAAATCAAAGCTCGGGGAATGGGTACGTGCGGATGGATCAAACAAGCACTGCAACAAGTGTAGAATAGTCTGAACACCTCTGAAACCATCTGTGGAACTTCGCTCCACTTTGCGCTGCTACTCAGGTGTTCCAAACCTCTTGCCCTTCAACAGCTTGTTGGTCCAAGTCGCATCAGAGAGCGCATCCAAGGAGGTCAAGAGCATGCTGGGCGGCGTCGTATCAGCAATCCAAACGCCTTTGGTGTATCCCCCCAGTGGCGCTGTGGGCGACGTCACGGCCGTGCTCACATAGGCCGAGGTCATATAGTTCGGTCGTGAGTACCCGAAGGTCGTGTTCGCTGAGTCCTGTCGCTGCGAAAACTGGTCCACGTGTGGGCGTTCGATGAAGCGCAGGAGTGAGACGTGCCAAGAAGAACGAGTAGACGAAGCAACACACAGATTACATGAAAGTATCCGGTACGTTCCGAGAACGCTCCAATATGCTCCAATATGATGCTCCATTGATCATGCTATGTGGAGCTTCATGATAAATGCAAAGACAGTGAATCTGGAGTGTTTCAGGGATTCTTTACTTTCTGCAAAGGTACGGTATGTTGCAAATCCTTTACCACTAGCATCCACTAGCCATCACTAGCCACCCTATCGGATGTAGGTCCAGTGACCGCTTAACATGCACTAAGAAACACAAGGATTTGAAGATCGATCCTCAACTCGTAGCGTCAAAGGCTGCAAAATCCCCAGCGACATCCCACATGCGGGTCCTTTCCCCAACAATACACATCGTACTGCTGCCCTGGAACCAGGGGTGCTACCTCGTCTTCTCGATTCGTGAGAAGCGGATTGACGTTCTCCAAGTTGTTCATGGTAATCGTCGCGTTGCTGCTTCCGTCGTAGACTGCGTTCCAGTTGGCCGTCAAAACCCTGGCAAACATGCACAATCCGCCGGGGAAGGAATGTCCCGACCTACCCCGCCTGTTGATCTGCATGTCAGCCGCCGTCTCACCAGAATCACTTCGCGTGACCCTGCAATATGCGGTCCCAACCTGCATGAAACGAGGCGTTTCAACACCAAAAAGGGCATCGCTATTGGTAACAAAGGGCATCGCTACCAGGAGCAAGAAGCTACTAGTCTCCTGGCATTACTAGTAACAAGAAGCTACTAGTAACAAGGGAAGAATGCTAGCTACCAGGGCAACGCCCAATGACCATGGTGGGCACCGCCCACCTCGTTGAGCGCGAAGGAAATCACCAGGATGCCTTCGGCTGCGGTGGGGTCCTGAATCTCAAGGACGGTGAAGCTGGGAGGCGCCTGCGGCGGACGGTGACGTCTTCGCAAAACAGACGGATTCCAAGAGAGGGGCTTTAGGCTGGAGAGTTGGACAGCTGGGAGGATCCATCTTTTCTTTGAGGTTTCACAAAAAGGAACCGAACATGAAAAGAAAGGTTCCACAAAAAGAGGTTGATATTTGTATAGATGTTAAATAGGAGATTCCAGGATGTTTTGTTCTTCATCTTCTTTCCTCCTGGCATCCCACCAAAAGCCTTCTGCAAAAAAAACCTTTGTGACGGTGGCGAGGTCCCGCCCTGCCTCGTCCAATGTGGACAACTGTCCCATGCTTTGCGCGAAAGACTGGACGGATTGCAGGCTGCTACCCTGTGGACCTGACCAGGCTGGGCAGTCGCCAGTTGTGGACACTCTTCGTACTTCGTACTGCTTGTCTCTCAGCATAGGTTCCTTGATCTACCAGCAAAGCTTCGGGCGTTATGTGCATGCATGTGCAATCCAAAATTCATACCCACTTAGTGGAGTGAGGGTTGCTAGTTGCAGACAGGCCTGCTGGAGACACATAGTCCGCAGAGTTGCTTGCACTGTCCGCCTGGGCAGTTCTGCGCTGTCCGAACGTGTTCATAGACACCAGACACCACGTGTTGCAAGGCGCGGCCTGGATCTTCCAATCATCTTCTGCATAGCAAAAGACTTGGTAAGTCGTCTGCAACTCTAACGGGGCATCGCCAGCCATATCTTTCTGCAAGATCCTGTTGACCTCGACGTCAACATCCTGAAAAGCCTGGCAGCGCTTGTAAGCATGAATCGAGAAGCCGAGGTGTTGTAAATATCTCAAAGCGCATCAGAGTGCTTCATTTTGGCAATGTTGTTCTTCTCCCCAAGACTACGGACAGCATCATGCAGATCAAACATCCTTGAAACATGGACAGCAAGCAAAAGGAACAATCGAAGCCTTCATCCATTTGGGTAAATGATTCCAAGAGTAGAAAATGTAGGAAATCCAAGCCCATAAAGCTCATCCCATCCCCACAATTCACTCTGGTTGTTCCAAGTCCCATAGTGAACACATCCAATGCCCTTCAACTTGCCGGTACAACTCCGCTTCCACACCTCGTGCACCTCCACTTGGAAGCTGGAACTCAGATTGCCTTTGATGTAGTCCTCCAGCACAAAGCAGGTCCCGGGTCGTCCCGGGTCCAGTTCCGAATTCTTCACGAGACACAGCTGATACTTGCTCACCAGTGGTCTTTGGCATGTCTGTTTGACGTTGAAATCAAAACATATTGTCGATGAGTCTCCTGAGTCTCCTGTAGTTGGTTGGGGGGGGGCCCATGAGTCTCCCGGAAAAAAACAATCACCTTTTGCAAAAACTGTTGCACTTAAAGAGGAGGTCGAAGCTGCGCAGTTTGCATTATACAAAGTAAACTACAAAGTAGTTTATGCAAAATCCAGTTGCCACTGCACCCCACCCCTTATAGTGGAAAATTGTAGACAAGGCTTCCGGGGATTCTTTCTCTGTCCAGGGGCGCCAAACTGACCAAGATACCCTCGGTCAAAAATGGAATTTGGATGAATTTGGTGGGTCAGGAGTTAGGAACACTTCCAACATAGTAACAGATTGCCTGTTCCCAAAATTCATCAAAATTCACCCATCTGTCCTGGAAGTAGCAGGCTGCCAATGGATTGTTCTCTTGTAGCTCGCTGTCTTGGCAGTTCACAGTGCCTGACAGCACCTCTGTCGCGGCACACCAGACGGTGCCAGGCTCGTCCAGCTGCAGGCGCACCTGTGAAAAGAAGGAGAGGAAAGAAGGACATGAAAGAACAAGAAACTGTGATGGGTGAGCACAGGCGCCCTCTCCATCACACGTCTCACACATCTCACACATCTCAAAAAACAAAACTGTGCTCCAGATCGGTGAAATTTGGCTTTTCGTGAGATGTGATCAGCACAGCGGGCACAAAAAAGGCGTTGCTCGCCACAACCTTGCAGAAACCGCAGGAGTTTCGTCCCACACCGCTTTGGAACGGTCCCCTGGTTGTGCGCCCTTATGTGACATCAACACCCAGGGCTCACAGGGAAACATTGGCCAAGAGGCTGGTGCCCCAGGATGCCCCACCAAGCCCCAAACCCTGAAGACATGTCTCCGTCCGAAGGCTTTCCCCGAACGTGCCACCGGTGCCTGGAGGGTTCCAGGACCTCAGCTTTCTTCTGAGAACCCTTCAATGCCCAGTGAAGGAAAACCTCTGTGCACTTGGTCACGGAAAAGTTCCACTTTAACCCCAGTGTGGTCGACCATCTGTCTTGATTCAAGGGTATACCAAGTGCCGAAGGATATCCTTTCGAGGAGGATAACGGCTTGCCCGTCTTCATGCTCAAAAGTGTGGGTGCATTGTTCCTTGCTTCCTTTCGCTGTGGTACTGCACCCACCTGAAAAGCTACCAGCGAGAGATCCTTGGGTCCTTGAAATGACTTCAGTGAACAGCTTCAAGACTCAAAGCAGTCAGCAGACCAAGCGCCCGACTCAAGGCTTCGGCTTGCACGAGCAAGAGGCTGGGCGGAGTGATGTCAACCACCCATACACCTCTTCAGGCAGAATAACAAATGGAAACAAATGCCATTTCGGATTTCGGATGTCTTGAAACCTCGGTGGTCCAAACTGTCGGTGGTTCTGAACTGTGGTGTTCCTCCACTACGGGTTGGAGGACATGTTGAGGGAATGAAACTGCGCGTACCCTCATCCAATTCCAGCGCAATTCTGCTTTGGAACAATGAATGCTACGCCTTTGAGACTGGTCATTGCGCACCGCATCAGAGCTCTGATCCCCTGTCCTGAAGTCTTTCCGCCCGGCAAAGAGCTGTTCGAAGTCTTCGTCTGACCGACAGCATGGTTGACCTTCAGCGGCTCCAGCGACAAGCGGCTCAAGCGACTCCAGCGACAAGCAACACCCTTCGATCCACTGAATCTCGCTGCAGTCCTTCTCCCCACAGGGACTGATTTCAAGGACTTGCTCAGTCCTTCTAGGTGCTGGTCAACCAAAAGCATCCAAATGCTGCAAATGCTTCATAAGGGCATGAACCTAGCTCCCTCAGGCATTTGTTCAATGCTTCCCCATGAAAACTCCACAAGTCAACAGAGGCGCTTCTTTGAGTCTGCCACGGCAAGCAAGCCCCTTTGATCCTCTGAGGCCCTGGCATAGTCCTCCGTCTGCCCGTTTCTGCGCGGCAAGCCCCTTCCATTGACGGCGTCATCATGGGCCTTGAAGCAAATGTACGTTTGCAGAGAAGATACGTGGACAGTGAACCTTGAAAGACTGGGCCATGGTGAGACTTCGTTCATGTTCTGTTTCCGTCCATTCGTCCTGCTTCTCCAGATGTGAAGAGGATTTGTGTGTGCAATTTAATAGGGAGACCTCTAACCAATGGGTTAGGACTCAGGACTATTTCCCTTCTTCATCTTCTTCCAGGGGTCTTTGGAAGATCTCCCTATAGGCAGATCTCCCTTTCTGAGGTCCTGGAGGATGCTCCAGTCGTTGAGGCATCGGCCCAGCAAAAGACATCATATTGTTGCTGTTCATCGAAGGGAGCCGTCTCGTCCTCCAAAGCACCAATGGAAGGGTCGGGCCTGGCACGTGGCGTCTACGCCTCAACGATGCAGAAGACGATGCAGAAGACGTAAAGACTGCCAAAGCTTGTAGATGTAAAGGATATCCACTTTGCCGGTCCCAAACCTCTTGTGGGATGCAGCTTTTCTACCTCCAAGACTCTATACCGGAGGCTTTGAGTGGGGCTCACATGGAGAAAAAAGGGGGCACAATAGGGGGAAACGACCAAGCCTTTCTTTGCAGGTCCATGTTCCCACTGCTGTCTTTTGGTAGCAGCTGTTGTTTGGGAGACCAAAGTTCGCCTCCACGTCTTGACAAAGCTTGAAGGCTTCAATCCGCGCGGCCGCGTCTCGGTCTCCCCAGTTGTTGAACACAAACCAAAAGACATCGTCTGGCCCCGAAGATGGGAAAAGAAGCGCCTGGAAATCTGTGTCATGGTGATGTTCTGCAAGCCGGAATCATACGAAGCCCACCTTGGATCACTAGGACAACTGTCCACTCTGACTCGACATGGAAGTGGACATGGTCCCTTGAAAGATGACTTTACAAGCGTCCACTTTCATGTTGGCCCAATTTGGGGGGATAGTCTACTGACTGAATGATTCCAAGCACAGAAACCGCCTCCGGCGTATAATCACAATGCTTTTTGAGTTGCAGTGCCGTCGGACTGGGCTCTCTGCTACAAAAGGTCTTTGATCAAGAGGGTGAGGTGTTCACTCCTAGCAAATATATAGATGTCCCTGCTTTACGTCACTCAAATGAGCGGGTCCATAATGGTCTATCTGATTTCTGTAGGCCCAAACCAACAACAATATAGCAAACAGCCTCACCATTCCTCCTTAATTTCAGAGGCCACCCAAAACAGCAGCCGCGCCGCCATCCGGCCGCCAGAATGTCCGGGATGTGCATGCTTTCTCCCGGCTCCACGTCCACCCGGCGGGCGCGGCAGTAGGCAGTGCCCGGCTCGTTGAGTGCAAAGATCACCAGGATACGATCGTTGGAGGCCGTTGGGTTCCTGGCTGAGTGTGAGGTCGAGAATTGGCAGGGATGAATGTCAGGGATAGAAAACCATAGATGCATATAGCTCCAATTAATTCCAATTATTATATGATCCAATATGATCCCATGATGCCAACCATAGCGGGAAAAAGACTATATTTGATAGACAGTTGGTTTGGCTGGTCAACACCTTATTTTTTGAGAGCGGCGGGTGAGGGGGGGTGGGTTTTTGAGGATTGTGATGAAAGGTGTATTTGATGATGTGAAGTATGGCATTGCAGAAAGACTCTCCAGATAGCATTCCCATGAAGTTGTGCGGCAGGACTCAGAGGCTAAATAATGAGCAGACAGTACTTGCAGCACTAGAGGTTCAGGAAGAAGTTGCAGAAGTATTAAAGCAGATGGGCCTATGTGTGTGTATGTGGATGTTGAAGTTGCAGGAAACACAGAGAGCCAACAAAGCAGCAATCTTTTCAGTCAATCTTCTGCTATACAGCGCACAGTCTATCCAGACCAGAACTACACATAGTTTCTACCCAAAGGATAGCCAGGCTATACTACACCGGAGCTCTTTCAGACTGGACCTCCCATTGCTTACCAAAGCATGAAGTAGCGCAGGTCACTTCTTGGCAGCCGGCTTCTTGGTGCACGCATAGGATTTGCCCTTGACTTTCGTTTGGACGGTGAACTTGTTCAGGTAGGATGCCTTCTTGCGTGTGATCGCCTCATTGTGCATCTTAGCATACAGCAAGACCTTGAACTGGTGCCGACATGGGCGACTCTCATTGAGTACTCGTGCATAGTTTCTGAACCACGAAAAGACCTGTTTACAGGCGGCAGTGTTGGTCTTAGCAAACCTCCTGGAAAGCCTCTTGACAAAGCGTGGATTGCATTTGCACGATTTCTTGTGCCCATATGCGTGGAATTTATCAACGGCCCAGTACTTGATCTGTGTGCATGCGGCAGCTCCCTTGGAAGATAGCTTGAAGCCGCACACACGGTCCATGACAAAGCCATCGAGCTTTGGGTAGGTAGGAAGTACCTTCAACAAGGATGTTTCCACAACGGCGCCGTTCTCTGGCTTGTGCATGGGAGCCACGCTGACAATGCATAGGTTCTTGGGGTTCACAAGCATGAACCATCCGTGGCCGTACGGCTTCTCCTTGCCATCTTTCCTGGGCCGACCTTGGTGCGTATATCCCTGCCCACATTTCAAGTGCACCTTTGCATGACCATCGCCCACCAGCTCTGTGATGGACGACTTTTTGCGAGGTGGAAAGACATGCTTGTGGAGGTACTCGTCATACTTCTTCAAAGCATCCTCGGAAATCTCCGCACCAATAATGAGACCTTCATGAAGCCCCAGAGGGTGAAGCTCACATAACGCAAGCCAATACAGAATGGCATCTGCATGCATTTCGCGGAACCAGCCAGAGTGATGTTCATGACCGAAAGTGTCACTGTACACATCTTCAACGGCTCTGTCTGTCAAAAAGCCGCGGAATTGAAGACCCGCATGGTACTTGAGGTAATCGATGTGGAAGCCAACCTTAGGACTGATAAAGAGCACCTCTGCCACATCGTCGGGGCAAGCCGTGTTCACCTTCTTCCCTTGGTCGATGAAGAAATTTGGGCCAAATGTGGTTCGGCAACCAAAACCATTGCACCTCATAGTTTTCACTGTCACAGAGGATGAGCCAGCCAAGGTGTAGACCACTGCATCGATCTCATGACCAAGCGAAAAGGAGCGGTGGCCACAAACACACTGCCGCATATCTTCTTCATGAGCTGGGCCGGCATGCTAATGCGCAAAGACTTGAAGCACAAGACCTACGAACCTGAAATGCTACACATGCAGAAGCTAGCATTGACATCCCACATGTCAGCAGCAAAGAGGAACACACAGGCTTCAAACTGAAGTTGTTTAAACATGGAAGAGGTGGAGCTTACATACCTGTATTTGGGGCAAAGAAGAACAGAGGAGTTACAAACTGTAGACATTGCAGATTGCAAAACTCATGCACCTGTATCTTTTCTCATCAAGCAGACACTGTTCCGTACCGGCCTACACATACAGCAATTGCAGACAATTGTCCCCCAACAGGCCTGTACACCAGAGCTCTCAGAAGTCCTGCGGCACGACACATCGCAAGGCGGCAGCTGAAGATCTTAAAGGTCATTCGCCACGTCTTCACCCATCACCTCCATGTCACCCTCCACGCCCACAGACAAGTCATCCTGCTCACCAACACGTGGAAAGCCATCATGGTCATCAGCAGACAAAGCTTGGTGTGACAAACTGGCTGCCCTGCATGGTGATGGGCGGGGGGGTGAATCCAAATCAATGACCCCTGTGCTTTTTTTGAGGCTCTGGCTGAAACTGGCTGACTTTTCAAAAAACTTCCTTTGGTTGTCTTCAAACTTCTCTTGCTTCACTTCCACAAACTTGGCTATGCAAGGTTTGGGCTCGGGCTCCGTGTCACCAAAGAGCTGCTCACGAATGCGCTTCCTACATGTCTCCTCTTCCCTATCCTTCTTTGTTGTGCACGGGTTCAGCAATGCGCTTCTTCATGAGTGCAGACACCCAGTCTTGCTCAATCTGCACTTGTGAAGCAAAGTCTTCCGGCAATTCGAGATTTCCGGCCTTGAAGCGACCATAGGCTTGCTTACCGGCATCTGTGAGGTACTCAGCTGCTGCTTCAGACACCCTGTGGACTGGGTCGGACGGCAAAAGCTACAAGTATCAAAGAAGGACAAGGGCATGTGCAAGTGTGACAGGGCGAGATACATTGCAACTAGCTGCAACTTGTCGGCATACTACTGTGGCCCCGGAAGGCGTGAGAGGTAAGACAGACATAATGCTGACAATGCATGTCCATGCGTTTGCAGATACATGTAGATGAGAGGAGTGTAAGACAGGAAAGCAAAAAAAACAAAAAAAACAAAGAATAACCAAAAGACAGCAGACCAGACAATCTTGGGGCAGAGATTGGCTTTTTTGTTTTTTTTGTTTTTTTTGTTTTTTTTGGTCTTGACGCAGCCAGAGTAAGTAGAAAGCAGACGTTTGTACCAGACAGAGCAGAGAAGTAGACAGAGCAGAAGTGTAGTTTCCTTCTGTTATTTGGAGCAGAGTTTCCTTCAAACTTCTAAAAATTCCTAAAAGCAAAAACCCAAAAACCCACCCCCCATGACCCGCCCTTCTGTTTTTTTTTGCTTTCTCGTCGATCTTTTGGAAGCCTGCAGTCATGTGAGCCATGTGACAGAATGGCCGAAAACCATGACGAAGGTGGCAACAGCTGCAAATATTGGTTGGTTGAGGTTGGGGAATGCTATAATACTGAACCAGGTGGCATCAAGGATGTTGCGCTATGAAAAACAGAGTTGGCACCATACAGAATTCATCAGGAATGTACTCTAGAAGAATGCCAACATACGCCCCCTCCCTGTCGGCTCGCGCTTGCGGCGAGGCACGGGATGGTCAGTGAGGTGAAGCTTGGAGGATCTTCGTCCAGCGTCGTCCTGGGCGGAGCATGGCGGAGCATGGCGGAGCATGGCGGAGCCATGCCGTCATGGGGGTACCCGGTTCATCGTCGAAGGGAAAATAGCCGGTGGCCAGACATTCCATCAGCCGATCTCATAGTCTCGTAGACAGGTGCATGGTATAGTTAAAATATGTTAGAATCCCAGGAATCAATCTGCCTCGTAGACTTTCCACAAGGATACCTGTTTTGTGCGGGTCCAATCTATCGATTACTCTTGAACAGTGGATGATGGCCGCGACCTTCCTCGGGCATCAAGAGGCCATCGCTATTTGGATGGAGACCATTGGGATTAGGTTGGAGGCTACACTTCGAGCACGTCTCGTTGGCCCGAAGCCACTCTCTGAGCTCAGCACCGGGTGCCAATTGCTGCTGTCAGCTCCTGGACCTGTGAAAAAGGCCTAAGCTGGCAGGCAAAGCAAGTCCGATGCTCCAAACTGCAGGAGCCTAAGCCAAGCCTTCAATCCTCTTCGATCCATTCCTACGATCTGAACGAGACGTCCACCTTGATTTGGACAGACGCCAATGGAGCGTAGCTTTCCTTCTGCACTAGACTTCAAGACCGAAGAGGACATGTGTTGGATCAAAAGCAGTAAAAGGCGTGACAGCACAGCGCACCGTCCTCCGAATTGAATGGCCTAATTGACATTGCTGGACTCTCCGTGTGGTCAACACCCGAGATTCAGTGGATCCCATCGAGTGCCATGTGCTCCCTAACTTCAAAAACCCAGGCCGTGCCACCAAGGGTCCTTTGGGTTTTTTTTGGGGTCCCATACCTTCACTTCCACCTCATACCTCCTCCCCCACCCCACTCCTCCCCCGCGATCACCCTCTGAAAACGGGATCCCACAGGCTCCCTGGCGACTTGTTGGGTAAACTCGGCGCCACGAAGTTGGGACTCACCACTGAGGCGGTGGTCTTCAACACCTGGCGGAGGTGGACATGCCGGTGATGCCCAAGCGGTCATCTCGCGTGCCCTAAGCAGTTCTTTTGGAGGTGGAGATAAAAAAAACAATGAGTTCTGCCAAGGCAGTCTTTGGTTGGTTGAAAGGAATGATGGTCAAGCATCAGTGGATCTCATGGACATTTGGCTTGTTTTTGGGTACCGCCCCGCGAGGGCGTCGCAGACGGTCGCCTAAAACGTATCATCCAAAGGTAGTTGGGATGGTGTATGATGACGTTACTTGTACTTGCAAACATGCCTGATGCAATGTGTCAGGAGCTGGCAGTACAGAAATCTGCCAAAGCGTGAGCCGGTGGAACACTTGGCAAAAGCGTTGCTCGACTTCCCGAAAAGGTGATGCCAAAAACTTGAGATGTGGAACGAGATTTGCCGCGCGTTTATTGAAAATGCTCTGAAACCTGCATTTCGAGCACATTTCGACCTCGAAAACGCGCGACGCCTGAGTGGGGTCGATCCCTTGTTCTTTGTACAAGACACACCTGAGCTATTTGATCGTTTGTGATCTTTTTAACTTGGCAAGCTGGGTGCCGCTCATAAGCAGGCCAGGCGAACCCAGTTATCCTCTGCAAAGCAGAAGATTCGGTATGATGTTTCAGGCCTTGGCGTGAAACAAAAAGGGTCACCAACAACTTGTGGTTTCGACTGGACGTGTGACGAGGATGAGTCACCCTGTAACGTTCGATGTGCCACTTCATCCCGATTGACTTCCTTTCAACAGCCATCGGCAACGGCGACGATGCTTCGATGGTTTAAGTTTAATGGCAACCAGGCCACAGCAGCGTGCTGCTGCCATTTCGGTCGCGCTGCCAGATCCTGCGCGAGTGGCGTGGCTTCAGAAAAAGAGCGAACTATATATAGACATTCTGAAAAGGTTTCCACCAAGGCGTTTCTGAGGCTTGAATCCCTCGTCATGCGTGCACAAATCTTGGATATGGGTCAAAATACCAGGCGCAGGGTTCCGCAGGTTCTAGTCAGGTGTCCTTTACCATTGAGGCTACAAAAGGTTGACCCCCTGCCACAAACGGATTAAAAAACAGATTGAAACATCATCAAAAGAAAAATATGTCGTGTGGCAAAGCAGATCAGATGCTCAGAAGCCGGTTGGAAAGAAGGTGCTCCTGTTCACTTCAATGTCAACATCTCTGAAAGCGTCGTGTACTTCATGGCTGAAGACCACGTTTTCACTGGAGCTGCCCTTGATGAAGGTCTCATAGTAGCACGGCGTGATCGCATCGTTGGGCTCGGTGTCCTGAAAAGTGGTGAACAAAACCCGCTTGGAGCACTCCATTGCAGGGGCTCCGGGGGCGACTGCTGCAGGCTGGTGGAACTTTGTGCCAGGCAGGCAATCATCAAATGTATCCGTTAGGCCTTTTCGTTTCATCGCATCACTTTCTGCAGGAGTCTATATTATAGGTCTTTTCAGTCTGTATGCAACCAAAGTTGCATGTAACATGTAAGTCCCCTAGCCCCACAACAGAGATGAGAACTTTCCTGCTACGCAAACAAACACTCACTATCACTCACTACAGTCACTACACTACTAGCAGGACTTGCATTTTCCTCCCAAACCTCCTTCACCGCCTTTCTCCAAAAAGCCACCGTTCGCCTGCACCTCGCTCTCTCGGCAGTTCTGCAACTCGGAGCTCGAATCCAGCTCAGCCGCCGCACACCTTGGAGCTGCGACCGATCGAGACAGAGGGGCGCCGAAAGACTTGGGGCATGGGCCAAAGGGCAGAGGGAAAAAACATGAAAAAACCTCCACGAAACCAAGGTTCTGGAGCCGCGTAGAACACGCGGCTCCAAAGATCAGATATCTGGACATCAGATCTGGGACATGGACACCAAGTCTCAAAGGAATGAAAAAAGACATCGCGTTGCCCGTTTCGCGTGATGTCAAGCGGCCAGATGGTGCCAGGCTCATCCAGTTGCAGCGTCACTTGGATGGTATCGCGCGAGATGGCTTCAGCCGATATGAAGCGCATTGTAGGTGGTGTGCTGTCATCAACCCACACACCAAGTGTTGCTCCTGAAGTTCAGTGTCAGCGACTGGCTCACTGGTTGGAATTGGACCCTAATGTAGACTCTTGATTAATAACCAATTGAAAAACCTCTTCAGGCCTGCGGGGTGAAATATCATGAAATATCATCAATGAGTCCACATGACTTTTCCAAGAAGCCGAAGATTCCACTGTTCTTCTTCCCAGCCCCACCACCCATCAATGACGTCCCCGCCTCCCAGGGGTAGCATGGGATCTCCTACTGCGGTGCTGACGTAGCTCTGTGACATGTAGTTCCGGCGATCAAAGCCAGCAGTGGTGGTGGCGTCATCCTGAACCACAACAACGATCGATCTCGAATCGGATCGATCTCTTTTTGTAAAATTTGGATTGACCCCAGATCGAGTTGCTGAGTTGCTATCAAGATTATCAAGTGTTTGAGAATTGATATTACAACACATGCAAGTGTGTTGCCATCAAATGACCCGCATCTGTGTCCGTATGTATCAACACTCCAAATACTACGAGGGACCTTACGAGGGATGTCAAAACATTACATTGATGCAAGAAATATTGCGAAGGCTTCGCAGCCAAAACCCCAACTATCCAAAATCATCACACCCATTCACACCCACTACAAATTCCTTCACAAGTACACCGAACTTCCCACGCTTGGCCTTTGCCCAACAATAAACGTCATACTGCGTGGATGAGTAGATCTCCACCGGCTGCACGTCGTAGGGCACATCGCTGCGGAGCTGCGTCAGGCTGATGTTAGCCGTCGGGAATCCAGGGCCTCCCTGTGCCGCGGACCAGCCGGCGGCGATGATCCGGTTCGGATGCATCTCGCTGCCGGTCTCTCCGGAGTCCGACCTGGTCAAGCGAGATAGATGGCTTCGATGTAGGGGCCGACATCGTGGCAAAGAGAAGAACGAGAGTCGCTGAGGCGGTTGCCCCGGTTCGGTTCGGATGAACTCCGCGTATGTCGAGATCCAGCTTCGATCATTCCCATCTCTTCCCTCCCGGCCTCGTGGCACGACAATACGCCGTCCCCGGCTCATTCAATGCAAAACTCACCACGATGACTCCTTCGGATGCCTTGGGCAGCGAAGCTGAAGAAAGGAGGTGAATCTGCCCGGTCCGGGCGAAGCTTCAAAAGTTGGGACGTCAAGCACCTCCTTACATCCTCTATCATCTTGTCATTTCGGCTCCACCAATTAGAACTACCACGAATTAGAACTATACCTGTTGAAACCTCTCAGTTCTGAAGTTCAGACGTCAAGAACTTCCCTACCAAGTGGTCTTAATCTTCGCCCTCCCCATTTGCCCCCCCCCCTACACTTCCTCCCTTCCTCCATCTTCCTCGTCCTTCCCGTCCTTCCATCCGAGCTCCCCGGCAGTGGGATCCACCACGGAGAGCTCCGTGAAGCTGGGCGGCGTCTCGTCCAGCGTCTGCACGGCGCCGATGGCCGTGGACACGCTGGCGACCAGGCTCCGGGCGTCGGTCGTCGCTGCCGACGTCGCGTCGAAGGACATCTTGTTGGGCGAGGAACCCAGGCCTGGCGACCGTCGCTGGGTCGAGCGCCCTGTGATGCGCACGGCTGTTGTCCCGAAGAAATGCAAGCAAGCACGGCAACCAGTGAAAACGTCTCCACGACTTGCTTAGGGCGTAAGCGGGGTTTAGGGTTGTTTCAGGTGGGAGGGGATAGCTGTGACGTCCGTGAGGCATCTGCTTCCTTCTTTGGCCACTGGGAAGTGACGCGACCATGAGTGAGTTGATCTGCCCCTGCCCGCTGCAGACGGTCTCTCTGGAACCTAGGGCTGCTGCCATCTGTTTCATCATCCTCCGCGAAGCAGTAGATGTAAGCATAGTCAGTCTTTTCCTTGAGCCCCGTGATGGAGAGTTGAACCTTGCCACAAGGATCCACGAAGGATACATGTTGCTGACTGTTACAGCGTATCAAAACATATCAAAACTTGGGAAGTGACGCAAGCCCCACACCAACTTGTTGCTACAGCCATCTGCACACAGCCAGGTTTCAGGGTCTACAGCACAAACACAGTGTCAAGCAGCTATGGACCATGGACAAAAGAACTACACCCACGGCAATAAAGAAAATGAACAACACATGGCCGTCCTAAACAACCACGTCGGCCGCCTGATCCTGGTTCAGTGGCGGAAAATCTCAGGGATCCCTGTTCAAGGTGGATCGTATGACCAAACAGATGTTGAGACAGGTGAATGATCCAAATCTCTGGTGACCGAGGGACTGATTTAGGGGACGGGAGATGGGGAGATAGACCCTGGAACCTCTTTCCATTCTAGAAGCAACAAGGAAATTCCGACCCAAACCATACGTTTTCTCCTCACAGACATAAGAACTCCCGGATTCTGCATCAGCACGGTTCCAACCACCGTTTGTCACATGTGGTCACGCTCAGACAGCCAGGTTACATCATGGCCAATCCGATAGGCGTCCGCATAGTCTGAGAGGCTGGATACACCATCCAAAGCGGTGTCCTGCCGAGTTCGATGGATGGAGCCTTTGTGCCCAAGACACCTGGAGATGGGAGGGCCAATGGGGACCAGTGGACCCAGTGGCGCGCTGTTGGTGAGTACTGCAGTAACAAGAGTCGGGGCATCTACATCAAACCTAAATGCAGTGACCATTTTGGATGAGGGTTGCCGGGTTGCCTACTGGGAGGCTGCTTTTCGTTCATTAGCAAGCAAAACCACACACCTTCAGACTTCGATTTGAGCAAATCCACTCGGCCCTCCACGTGTTCATAAATTCGGAGTAGAGTGAAAGATCTCCCAGATGGACCAACTTAGAAGGCAACCAGTACCATGGCTGTCTGAAAGAAAGAGCTACGCCGCTACGCTAGCTCTCTGCAGAGCTTTCCAGGCGAATGCATGTCTTGAATGGCAAATACGGTGTGCCCCTCCATGTCATGACCCGCCCTGCTTGAATGGCCACCGGCCAGGAATGATTTCATTCCGTCCAAACACAATCAAACGTCACATACATGACGGGGAGCCGTGGAACATGACGGTGGAACGCAGAGCAGAATTTGCCGCGTCTTCTGCACGTGCCATGTTTCTCCCAAAGACAGGCAACCCATCCGCCGTCCGCCGTCCTCGACATCGTCCAAGTCGTAGATCCAAAAGCTGCCACAGGGCCTCGCTGCACGGCTCTCGCTGCAGTTCGCCTCTTTGATGAGCGACTCGAAGTCTGTGGACATGCCTCGCGGGCGGGTGGGTGGCCACAAGGACAGGGACATGCGTTTTTTTTTCAACAAGAAGGGGGACCGAGATCTATGGCCAGAAGCTGGAAGATCATGACCCATTGTGATCTGTACCAACCATCAGAATCTGTGCCAAGAGATCTTATCTTTCAGATTCCCGCAGTGGGTGAGGCATGAAAAACAGCTTTCAGAAGGTGTCATTGTTGGATCCTCTGACCCTTCCTAAGGTCCAACTGCTTCCCACGTTGACCTGCTCGCTCCCCCACACGCCTGTCGGCTCCGCTTCCCAAGCCTCGCTCGGTCAAATGCTTGCCTGTACAAATTGCAAACACACTCTACCCCAGGGGGTTTGGAGAGGATTCCCCAGTGACCCCGTTCTTTTCGAATCAAAACGGATCAGCCAAACCCAAACCACACCAACCCCACCACACACGTGGTCTCAGGAGTCTCGGGCTCCACCGGTGGGGTCTGAGGACTCCACCCCACACCACAACTTGGAGCCCTCGTCCATTTGGAGGGTCAACCTGGGTCGCCGAGTCGGCGAAGGCGATGGCGCCCCGCAGGGAAGACGGCAGGGCGGGCAGGGCGGGGTTCCAATGATCTAGTTGACTTCATCGATACATGGGCTTAGATGCCGGATGCGCCATGCAGCTAGACGTTCATCGGCTATAGTCTGTAAGTCGAGCAGTACACATCAGTACTATACTACTCAACATTTCTCAACCATGAGCAGATTGATTTGCTGCAAACGGCAAACACCTTTTCCACACGACATATGCTTGGTGTAAGCCACCCTGAGGCCCTGAGATGGACCCCATAGAACTTGAAAAGGCTCCTCTTTTTCACCGACATGGTGGGCTTTCGGGCTGGATGGTGTCGTGGCTGATGGACTCGGCGTACATGACATAGATCCGTGGTGGAGTGGCCTCGGACCGCGCACCGCGGGGGGGCGCAGGTGGGCGCAGCTGCCGCGACGCGGAGGGCGCGAGAGGCTCGAGGTTCCCGACGTCGGCCGTGCGCACGAAGGTCCGTGAAGCCTGGATGGCCTCAGCAATCGAAGATCGGCCCTCAACCATGTCTGCAGGATGTTTGGGGGTATCAAACCACGTGAAAGCAAAGCTAAAGCAAAGCTAAAGCTTGAAAGAAGACCGTTCCTAATCGTGCTCTTCATGAACACATCACATGTTTTTCTTCTCACAGGGGGAGGTTTACCTACCGGACTCTCCAACATCCAAAGATTTATAGGCCCATGGTTCCTTCACCGCTTCCCGCCAACATGGGAAAATCATGAAACAACCAGCAAACAGAGAGGAACTGCTGCTTTCTTGTTCGCGGAGAGTGTCTGGATTTCTGGATGAACTGCGTATTCAATTCCAACGCTCTACTCACCTTGCCACATGTCACCCAAACTGGGCCCGGCATGTCCTTGCCTGTGTGCTGGATCCAGAGGGAGCATCGCAACCGAGGCAAAGGACATCTCTTGCAAAGCAATAGACCTCCGCCCAGATGAGTGCGGCTGACGTCTGAAGGTGATATCCAATATGACGACCGTACCCGAATTGAATATGTCTTTCAGTATTCTCTCATGAGAACAAAAAGCATTCCAAATTCGGGTATCATGCATCGGACTTTGGCCAATTGTTTTGCCAGGTGTCTCCCTTCAATCCCACAAGAAAGTGGCTGGATGCTAAAGCGATTTCATCGGCGAACCTGTGCATGCGCCACCCCGTCCAGCGAACGCCACTGAAATGTTGTGACGGCGAAGTAGCGGCTTGCCTCATAGTCGGTACCTCTTGCCAGAGCATCCCCCTTCACATTCTCAGCAGTGATGTTCACCTGCCAGTCCCAACTTCCCCTGTCAGTTCTCAGGCAACTGTTTTCCAACATTCTGCTTTTCAGTCCATGTTCCCCGTTTCGCCAACAGTGTGTTTGCATGTCTGAAAAGGATCCCAGCAGTGATGTTCACAGCAACTGACACCGGTGTCACTCCGTCCCACGCGGCGACGTGGCGACACCACCTGGTCCACTGAGCCGGATTGCACTTCGACCAGAAAGCCGGTGGCCACGATTTCCGGTGCCTGGAGTCATGGAGTTGAGAATGCCGTTGCCTGGAAAACGGTGAGATGAGAATGGAGATGATGATGATGATGATGATGATGATGAGTTTTGAGGTTTGAAAGGTTCTATCAAAAGTAATGGTCTTTGAGAAGAATGGGTCTTTGGCACTCTTTGTTCAGTTGGATGCTTGAATGAACCGATATCCGATATACCTTCCAATCAAAGCGCAACGAAGGCCTTTCTGGATCTACACTCCTTGAAACGTGGAAGTGGACAACCACCTGTTTGTACAGGAAAATGGTCAACCAAGGGGTCATGCCATCCATTTCCATGATTAGGGAGTGCAGAGTGTAGCAATTCCGTTGCTTTTAATCCCAACTATAGACATGTTTCAAAAATCCTTGGGATTCTAAGCTTGGAAGACCTTTTGGAACTGAATCCCACCCTGGTACTAGGCCACCCAGCCCAACCTGCGCCCGCGTGCGGCGCGCGCCCGAACGACTCGCGCCTCGTATGCACTTCGAGAGTTCTTCCGCAAGGCTCGACACCACACGGTGCCCGCTTCATCCAAGGAGACGGAGACCATGATGACATCCTCGAGGGTTTCGGATGGTGAGTGTGTAGTCAAGTTTGGGACCCTCCAAAAGCGCTTCAAATGCATGGGAGGTCGGAATAAAACGTTGGGAGGTGAGGAAAGAGACGTTTTGAACGAGACCCTTTGTTTGTCGTGAATAAAATGAGGAAATTGTATAAGCGTTGGGAGGTCGGAGGTGAGCATGATTGAGGAACGCGAAGCTGCTCTCAGACGCGGCCTCAGCCTCTTGAGGTCTAGCTCTCTTGGGCAAAGAGATGAGTTCACCAAGATGACCCCGTCATGGAATATCCAAACGATAGCCCATTGGTCGCCATTTGGTGGGATAATGTCGCAACATGAACTACTTGTATGACTTGGAAGATACCCATGGTCACGAACTTGAGGATAGCCCACACCTCTTATCCTCTTACTCACTGACTCACTTGACTCACCTATCAAAAAGGACTTCTTTCCTCTAACTTCTCTGATGGGTTGATAAAGCCACCACCTTGACCCAACCGAATGTGCTTCTGCCAATGACCTCGCCGCCCAACCGCCTCGGTGGTGGCGGTGCTATGGATCGTGAGGTTTGGTGCTGTCAGATCCAGCCTCAGCGACCGGCTCCCATTTCCGTCGACCTGGACGACCTGTTGGTTTGGTCACCCAACAGGCTGGAAACGAAGAAAACCGTGTCCAATGAATGCATTTAGAAAAGTTTGATCATTTCTTTGTATAGTAAGAGTAAGATTGAAGGATGCTGAAGGGAATCAAGTTTTGTTGATACCTTGAGGCGAAAGGGTACAATCAGCTTCCTATACCCACATCTCCTTGCCAGGATCTCCGTACTCCAAATCACCATACTCAGATCACAATACTCCACCTGCATGGTCTTGTGCCAAGCAGAGTCCTGCGATACGTCAAGGCATCAGGAGCAGACGTTGTTGCCATGCCGATGCTTTCGGTGAAGAGAAGAACTGTGCCCAAACTCACCTGCCATGGTGAGTTGCAAAAACCCTGGAAGGTGATTTGCAAGGAACAAGAAGAAGAAGAAGAAGACCAAGACCAAGACCAAGACCAAGACCAAGCATCATGATGATAAAAGCATGTGAGGGAATGGCCTTGAAACCGCCCGAAGCCATTCAAGGTATACGCAGAGAAGTCTGTCTAACTGCTTACTATCTAGCTGGCTGGATCTATACAAACAGCCAAATTATCCTCCGAATGATACAGAAATATACAGTATGCAGTACTACACACTATGGTAGTGACCATGTAAAAACTACCAAGAGACCCCAAGCACATCATATTGCAAAATCAATCCGTCCATTAAAGGATACACTCCCACGCCACTTGCATCCACGTGCCAACGCAAAGCTCCAAAGCCAAAACAAGTTGTTGTTATTTTTCTAATGCCTGCATGTTGATCATGTTCTCTTGCCTACAAGATCCTACAAGCAAAGTCCTTTGCTTTTCTTTTTCAAGCTCTTTCCCCCCTCGCATTCATGAAAGCCTTGTTGGCCACCAGCGGAGCCACGAAGTTGATCGAACCGCTCTGAGCCTGAACCCGAGTGAAGTCGCCGCAAGAAACACCGCGCTTCGCGGACGGGACATCGAACATCGAGCGGTAGAATTCGGAGCAAAGCCTCTTCATATTGTCTTTCTTAAATCAAGAGCCTACATGAATAATGTCTCTTCTAAATCAAGAGTCTACATTTATCTTTGTAATTATATCTGTGTGTTTCGACCTGTAACAAAATTTGGCAACTCAGAAGTGCACAAGATGCCGTTGAGATTGACCGTAGAATATATATATATAGAGAGAGAGAGAGAAACAAGACACAGGAAAATCATGGACATTCAAAGTACTTGAAAGGCTCTATAGGACCCTTCGCTCGAGCGCCTACCAAATCGTCTCCCACTTTCTCCCGTCTGGTTTCATCAGTCTGGACCTCCTCGACCCAATCGTCTTCAGCAAAGCAAACGATCTTGTAGCCTGGCCAAAAGCTGTGGGCAACGTCCAAAATCCACTATTCAATATAAATGCGTCTATACATGTCTGTACTGAATATGGAATATGGATTATCGACATTTATCATAATTTATCCACTGAAACTGATTGGCACTGATTAGCCATTGGAACTCCCAATCAAAGCTGTCTGAAGCTGTCACAAGCCATCACGGTGTTCATTGAGCAGTTTGAACAGGTTTAAAAAAAAAAAAAAACATGTTTTTTCTCCCCATGTTGCTGAAGACATCTGAAGGATGGAGAGAAAAGGGGGCGTCCTCGGATTGAACACTATTGAACCCAGGAACGTACCATGGTACCATGCATGAAGCTCTCGTACCATGAGGTGGAACACGTCCAGGAACAACAGGAGATGTACCATGTCACCACCATGTCAACGCGCGTACCACGTCAATGCCAGTGTGAGATCGAAAGTTGCGGTCCGTGGAGGTGCTACTGCTATCTTCGACACCTCAAGACCGTGCTTGGAAAGCTCAGCTTCGGATCTGGCCTGTCTTGGGCTCCAACGGTACTGGAGCAAAGGATCCGTCTCGTGAGGGCAATCGGTTCACCTGGCGGCGCGACCCGAGGGTTCGGGGCGGCGCGGGGGGGCGTTCGGCGCGACGGGGAGCCGGTGCGTTTCCCGGTTTCGCTGGCGGTTCAGCCTCGCGAACGAAGACGGCAGATGACGGCTTCAGACCATCCTTCGTCCTTCTTCTTGCAGAACAACTGCTGTATAAAAGAAGGACGAGCTGGTCTCAAGCAAAGCCCCAGAGTCACCAAGTGAAGGTTTGGGCGATCGAGAAGGGGCTATGCTACTACCCCAGAGTCACCTTAAGTGAACCACTCATCGGACGTCGTCAACCGTCAGGATCTGTCAGGACGGACTTGCATCTTCAGGTGCCATATCGCATCGCCCATCGAAAAGAAGCGCGTTGAGGTAGAGCAGGGTGGACTTGCCATCTTTAGATTGTAATTTATAGATTTATAAGATTCAATAAGATGTTCTAAGTATAGGTTTGGCTCAAACATCAGGACATGTCCAGAATTGGATCGAATTGGCCCTCCAAGAAGTGAACACATGTCGTGAATTGTCATGAATAGTCTCCCAAAATTCGGATAGACGTAGATAGGTCTCCCAAATCGAACTCCCAATCCTTGACCTCCCAAAACACGTCATCTGCGTGCACCAGTGCACTGCCATGCGCCTCCACCTCCACGTCCCGGAAAGCTTCCGGCACCTCGAAGTCTTCACGGAGTCTTCACATCGAGTCGAATGAGCACTGAAGATGACGGAAGAAGACGCCAAAAAATAAACGCGCCTCCTTGCGGAAGACTGCGGTGGAGTTCCCTTTGATGTAGCTTTCCTTGTTGCGATTGTTGCGCGTTTTGCTGCCCGAAACGGTCGAAATGCACTTCAACAGTCCCTGCACATTCACACATCCCGACGAAGCTCCACTCATCGGTGCTTTTGGAAAAACCTTTGGGGTGGTCCATGGGAAGCTCTCCATGTAGGTGTAGGTGTCGAGAGTCAACAGGCCTTTTGCGGACAATGTGGGGTTCGCAATCTCGTTGGTTCCCAATGCGGGCGCAAGTCTCACCTACAGTATAGTGATTAGATGTGAGCTGGATGTGAGGTGGTGTCTTTTGGCCGAAAAGTCCTCCCTGGCCACATGGAACTGGTTTACAATGTGCTGAGGGAATGGCTTTCTCAATTGCCCTTTACATGTTTGCCGAAAGGAGGCCAAATCTTGTCCATCTAGCACACCTAACCCATGAGCCCTTGCTGCCAAAGGACATAGTAGCAATCCGCTTGAGGATCACTATCTTGAAGCCTCAGAGCTTCAGCCGAAGTCCCTAGATGTCCCTCAGTTCTTTGATGTTCTAACTTCTTCCAACCATAGGTGTTCATGGAAGTGGATGGCCTGGCCCCGAGTTTGGAAGACCATGAAATCCACTACAAACGGGTGGTGAACTCCACGTAACCATGTTAGTTCCAGGGAGAGTAGGTCTCCAGGAGCTGCCAGTTCATATACTGGATCTTCGCACAACTCGTCGGTGTCCGCAGTTCCCGGGCTCCGGACTCCGTCTCGGCGCAGAAGCCGCTGGTGGAGACGTTCAAAGCAGCTTGGCACCAGACCGTGCCAGGCCTGAAGGGGCAAATGTTCTGCCTTGTTGAATGTGTCAAGCAGTGATGCAGCTTAACCACCATAGGGAATAGAATGGAATAGAAAACAATGGTTCAAGAAGAAAACTTTGCACAACAAACACCTGCAAGGCCTCAGTGGTGAACCCAAAACCAACACCACTGTTCGTCAGTCCACACGTCCCATGAGATGCAGCGCTCATCCATTCACTGAGTCGGGCGCTCATCCAGCTGCAGCGTCACTTGGAGGGTCTCCTCATCTCGAATCGCATCCCACGCTGCGAAGAGCATCCGTGGAGCAGTGGAGTCCACAACCCAGACCTGGTGAAGAGTTGCTGAAGAGTCGGTGAAAAAATCCAATGACCAATGCATGAGAGACATTCATTTGGACAAATCTGAGCCGTTTTTAGAGGTACTTTGGAGCCCTTTCGGAACTTTCCTGGCATTTTCGGCTCGAGCTTGGCATTTCTTCGGCCCGAACCTTTGCTGCACAGGTTGGAGCCGATCCGGCCTTGCTGGTCTTCCCTCCGCTCGGAGCGTTCACGACTCCCACGTCCGAGCCTCAGACGTCGGCCGCGTCGTCCACCGCGGTCGCCGTCGGGCCGCGTCGGGCCGCGCCGACTGAGGTGCAGGCCGACATAGGCCTGCGTCATGTACTGCGGGCGGGGATACCCGAAGTTGGTCTTCGCCTCATCCTGCCGAGTGAAGATCAAGAGTGTGGACTTGTGTGATAAGATCCTGGATTTGGTGAGTGGACTGTGGCCATCTTGTTCAACCAATCGACATGCTTGGAGCTTCGAAGCAGCTTCCGGACTCCTGAGCCCAGCAATAGACGTCATACTGCTTGGCCTCATCCAGCTCCTGAGCATGTCTTCAATCCGACACAGCTACACTCAGCAGGGTAGACATGGGCATGGCCCATAGCACCATGACATTTGTCTACCTTCTACTCACATCTCAAGTGTGAATTTCAAGCTGGAGGGGCCTCCAGTAGCATTTCAGTACATCAGAGATACCCTCATTAAAGCATTGCAACGACTTTCTGTTGTCTTTCTGCATCTGGACATTGGGAACATTCTAGCGCACAGGTCACAGGTGTCTTTGGCTACTTGATCTACTGGACAGTAGACATGAGGTGATCTGCTTCGCTACACGTTCCCCTCTCCTTCAGAGGCCGTGTGCCCGTCATGATGATGCTGCTGTTCTCACTGGTGAGAGGATCATGTCTGGCAGACCAGCCAGCGCTGATAATGACATTGAGGTCCATGGCTTTGGCAGCCTGCGCTTGAAGACGCTGAGAGAAGGACGTGCCAAAGACGTCTGGTAGGCAGAATGAGTGATGGGGTCGTTGAGACATACGAGTACGCATCTGACCATGTGGGTCTGAAAAAAGATACTAAAATATGCCAGCATAGACCCCAAACAGTTTCAGAACTTTTTGGGGGCGTCAACTCCTTGAATTCCAATGTTTGTGGTAACGTCTGTATTGGGCATGGCATGCAAACAAAACATGTTAGAAAACAATAGTTCCTTATTCCCAAGGCAACATGTGCAAACACGAAGGAATATATATATATATATGCCATGAGAAAATTCGAGGATGATATCAAGCGCTGCAACACTGTTGCATGCATAGCCACACGACAACATACCCCCGGACAAGGCGGTGGAGAAAGGGAAAGCGTCGTGGCCAAGCAGGGGATAAGGCTGGGACAAGGCGGTGATAAAAGGGGCGACAACGCGGACAAGCGGGACAGACCCGGACAAGGCCTGGGCAAAGCCCGGACAAGGACCAGACAAGGCCACTAAACTCTTTGTGGAACAAGGGAGGACTCAGCGCGGCCAGAGGACAGCAGGAGGACATAGATAGGACATAGATAGGAGGACAAGAGGAGGACAAGAAGAGGACAACAGGAGGACCAGGGTTCAGGGGCGCGGCCAAAGACTGTGGCTGACTGTGGCCAGTGTCTTTTTCCTAAGAGAGAACCTCAACAGCAAACTATTTGGTGAAAAACGGCCATGCATGGGCTTCTGTTCGAATGCTTGAGGTGATTCTCTACTACAAGTCTTTGTCCTTCATTCATGCTTGGCAGATTGACACAGAGACTGGTAAAGATCCTAGTAGGACAAAAACTGGTCAATCATTGTCTTGTAAAAATGAATCCTTTCTTTTTTCGCGAATACTGAGCCTCTCGAGGCTCTTGCTTCAGAGCTGCATGCAAACAGGGGCATAGGCTTCCAAACATGCAAAGCCGGAGTCCCAGACCCATCCAAACCCCCTGGTGCCGATCGACTCTGCGAGTCGCCTCTGCACTATCACTCCGCAGTGGTCGACAGTATGCCGTACCAGCCTGCCGTAGTGCAGAGTAAGCAGGCAAAGAAGGGCCAGGTGTTCAGGGAAAATGGGGCATTTGCAGGCCTCGTTCAAGGCGAAAACCACCTCAATCTGAGTGTTCAGAGCTGTTGGGTCCTGCACTTGGTGAAGAGCTGTTGGGCATCAAACACATCCTGCTTCGTCAAAACACTTGGCAACGTGTCGAACCCTCTCTCACTCCATCTCCATAGACTCCTGTACTTGCAGAAGCGTGAAGCTGGGTGGCGACACGTCCAAAGTGGTGGGCGAAGAGAATGTACTGCCTGGCATCGCGATGACCACCGTCCACACAAGAAAAGCAAACTGTGAATGCCCTCTTGAGCATCCTTGAACTCTCAAAATACTGAGATGTATTGAATCTTCTTGATGAAGATGAACAGCATTCAATGCCTTCTCCAGAGCTTTCAAAGGAAATGAATGGAATCTCTTGACCTCAACAGTTTCACATCCCATCTGATAACAAGCCAGCTGAGCTGAAGTTGAGCACATCCTCCAACGTCACTTTGTTTGGCTCCGCGGGGTGGCTCACGTATGACTGCGATCGCCTGGCCGCCCCTTGGGCGTCGGAGGGCCAGTCGTCCTCTGCGAAGCAATAGACGTGGTAGGCCGTTTCGGAGGTCAAGGCATCGGCAGCAGAGAGATCCTTGCGAAGGATCCGGCTCACCTCCACTTGCACCGAGGAAAAGGCCTCGGTGAGTCGATTTCAGGTGGGTCGTGGGTCGTGGGTCGATTTCAGGTGGTGGAGTGGAAACATGTCGATCGTAAGGCTGAAACTCGCAGCTGATCTCTTCATTCCGGAACTCTTAAGAAAGAAGGTGCGCTTCTTAAGAGCTTCGCCTCTTTAGGAAACCATCGAAACATCCGAAATCCAACACGTCCGTGACCTCCCCCCCGTGGACGCCTGAGGCACCTCCGTTGAGAAGCTGGCGTTGGTGTCACCCTGGGCCAAACGTGGACATTGGCCGTATACACCCTCCAGCATGGTTCGAAAAGGACAACTCCAGCAACTTGCAAGTGAATCCATGTGAATCCATTCTTGAGGCTAACAGAACGGAACTCGAAACCAGCGCCGTGGCCATGAACGGAGTACTTGCCAAGCCTACTTGTCCTTTCAGACACCCTGACCAGAAGGTCAAGGTTGCACTGGAATGTGGTCGAAATCGACCGCACGAAATGCCGCTTCCACTCGGTGCCTTGATCAGGGTCTCGTACTCGCAAAGGCCGGCCGAGGCTGAGAAGCTGCCACCAGAGGCTACAGTGCCAGGGAGGCAATAGATGAGGTCGGAGCCCATTTGGACCGCTGCACCTGGCGACCGTGTGGCGACGGCGAAGGCGAGTTTTGCCGATCTTTGATGTGAGATCGGACTGGTCTGATGGCCGGCACTGTCGTACGAGAGCCACGTACGAGAGCCATTTGGTATGTCTCTTCTTCTGGTCCGTGTTGTCATAATCAGTTCGTCCGTCCAAAAAGTGGTTCCAAGCATGTCGATGTGTAAAGTGGCACGATTCTTGTCTAGGGGCCCCGACTCTTCCCTTTCCTATAGGATAACCGTCTGCCGAATGCAGGACATATGTGGGGTCGGACTGGTTTGCAGCAGGAAACTCGCTAATGATTCGAACGACTGTATTTTGTGCGTGTCCATTTTGTCACCATGCCCTATTAAAAACACAAAAAGAACCTATAGAACATTCACCACTCACTTAAGGTCCTTCCATCCCGCCTACCACCCAACGCATCCTCCTTTGATGTTGCCTGAGGCTCCCGACACCAGACGGTTCCAGGCTCATCCAGTTGCAAGGTCACTTGCAGCGTGTCCCCGGAGATGCCTTCTGCCCGCACCAGGGTCATGCTGGGAGGCGTGGTATCCACCACCCAAACTCCTCACGCCAGCGGAGCCGAGTTTCCGTGCGCGGCTGAGCTCATGCCCATGCGACGAGCAAGAGGAGGTCGGGGGGGAAGTATATCTTAGAGTATCCTTCCTTTGCGCAAAAGAAGAACGGGATGCTTTGTATACTCTGGCATTCTGACAGCTCTTCCACATAACAAACGCTATTTTCAGCATTACCCTCAAACAACCATGAAGGTGAGGAAGTCCTTTTGGCCATCTGGGTGTGTAGCTCAAAAAGGGATACCTCCCAAAGTTCCTGGAAGGAAAATTGAGCAAGCCCCATTTGGCCAGAGGGGTCTCCCTATTCTAATAAGTTCTATAAGTTCTATACCCATGCAATGCCATGCATATGCTATTCTGATCCTCTGAGTCCACTTGGTCGCCCTTCACTCTGTAAGGCGGACGACTGACCACGGATCTCCCTGCGTCGCGCACCGCGCCCGTCAACGGTCGAACAAGACCAGTCGACGCTTTCGCTGGAAAGAACTGGCTCAACCGGAAGCGCTGCAAGAAGTCATCAACGAGCTGTAGTGCACCCGTCCCGTAGCTTTCTTTTCATTCCGACCAGCACATGTTCCTCCCCGAAACAACTTCAAAAGATTGCCCCACGAAGGCAGGCGTCAATTTAAGGGTGCGATGTCCTTTGTGGATTGCTCATCCGGATGGGACATATACTCTTGAAGTCCGATGAAATATAAGGCTATTCATAGGTTTGTCGAGCGCAATTCCACTGGCTTTTCGATTGAAAGCGGCACCTTTTTCCTCAAGGCTGAGATTTGTGATGGTCATTTCGCGTGGCTACGGCATCAGGCTTGGCTGCAGGCTAAATTTCAAATCATGTTGCATCATTTTACTATAAGAGTCGGCTTTAAGTTTTAGTGGCTTTACCATGTCAGACACGTCGCCCCCAGCCTGCCTAGCTGTGTGACACCGCAGCTTTCAATCGGTCCAACTTTGGGACAGCGGGCCACATGTGCCCCTCACAAAGATGTGAAGGTGCAGCCATTACCTCCCACCTCAGGGACTCAAAACAGGCCATATAATGGAGATCAAGAACACGGAGCAAGGATCGAAACTCCGCATTTCGCAGAACATACACTAGTGAGTCTTAAAACAGGGAGACCCCCCAAACACCACTGGAAGATGGAAACCAAATCAAAACCATCCAAAACCCAATGGTTGGTGGTCCCTATTGAACTATATACACAGCCAGCCTGAAGAAGCCAGGCGAGGCCTTCTGCGATCGTGGAGATCGGACCCGGAGGTACGACCTCTGGCTCTTCAACAATCATGACCGGCACCTCGTGAACCAGGAGCTTGGTATCCTCCAAAAGCCCTGGGTACCTGGAGATGCCAAAAGACATGGCGAAGCGGACTTGCACCGGTGCGGAAAGCCATCGAAATCATGACCAAAACACCATAAAACCATCTAATCTATCCTTGCAGAAAATACTTGGATGATATACTTGGTGAGTTTCCTGGACTGTGGACTTTTGGGGGGGTCAAAGCCCTGGCATCCTGGTTGATCACAGAGAATCCAGTCACCCCTCACTTGGGCCCTCAGTTTTTCAGGCTCACTTGGGCACTTACCCCACCGGACCAACGTCGCTTTGGCGAAACTCTGAGAGTTCAAATGGTGGAGGCCGGCCACAACCTACTAGCTTCTTGTTGCTAGTAGTAAGGATGCTCCTAGTCGTAGTACGGCCAGGAGCCCCTAGTAGCTTTCTTGCTCCTAGTAGCGATGCCAGGAGCCCCTAGTAGCGATCGTCTCCACCGGACCGTAGCTTCTTGTTACGACCTGATTCTTCATCCGTGCGACGCGAGCTTCAGCTCCGACATCAAGAAGGTGGCAGCCGTTTTTCCGTCAGCAGACTGGACAGAATTGATGTTGCAGCTAGCTCCTGAGAAAGGCGACACAGAAGAAAACAACTGCTAATTGATGTCATATAATGGATATAGTCTTAGTTGTCAGTTGTTAAACTCGGGTTTGAGAAACTTCTGAATTTGGAGAATCGAAGGAACATGTGAGAACAATAAATGCATGTGTGAATGCCAGTCTTAGTTTTGCCAGGCGACCGAACGTGAGCGAATCTGACACACCAGCTGTGACATCCAGCATGGCCAGAAAGGCCTCCCGAAAGGGATTGGGCACCATGTTGCACCCTGTCATCGCAGCAGTGCGCAACTCCTTCTGCCAATACCTTGTGCACGCGATGCACTTGGCGTTGACACGGTGGCATACTCACAAGGAACACTTAGACCTCACTACGGTCTCTACAGGATTCAATTGTGTTCCAAGCATGCAATGGAAGGATGTAATGTAAGGGGATGTAAAGGGCATTGCAAGTTAGACCAGAAACGAGCACTTGCTGGCTCGGTGCTCATCACGCCGCTTCTTGGCTTGCTCTAAAAGAACCTCCTTCTCCTCCTCGGAGAGCTCCTCGTCGATTCGTGGTTTCAAAGCCAAATCCTCCATGGCCCGAGCCGCGAACTCCTCCGCGAACGCGGCGCCCTCCTGCGACGAATGGTTCCGGTAGACTGGAGGACGATCCAAAAGCACCGGGCCCATCGCCACGTGTGAGCAAGGACAGGTTGCTTATTGATCAAAGTCTGATGATAAGTCTTGGGTGACAGCGTTTTCTTCAAGTGCTAGGGCACTGGAAACCTTGCATGATTCACAAATGGACGCTCTGAATCCAGTGAGGATCTCTTGATTGAACAGGGACATATAATGACATAGATATGACACAAAAAGGACAATGTTCACTGGATCTCCGAACGCTATCGAATCATGGCAGCGCTTGTGACGACCAAGGATACCTGAACTCAACGAATTCTACCATATTCCAAGTCTCACAATTCTTCAAACCCTGCACCCTGCTGAAAGCACCCTGCCGCCCTGCCTCAGTGACGCAGCCTCCACCAAGCTGCTCCATTGCGCAAATCACTGTGGACGGCGTGCTTGGTAAAAGGAGGAGCCTCAGTGTGGTGGTCGCAGCCTGCGTGACTGTCCCATGATCGTCGCGTCGCGTGACCGTCGGGCGCGACCGTGCGGCGCCGTCACCGGAGCGTCGCAAAAATCCCTCACCGTACGGATTCCGCGCGTCGTTCCCAAGGAATTTGCAACAAACATCATGAGCTACCCCAAGCTGGGCACCAACGAATCCAGGTTGATATGGGTGAAGATCAGTTGCTTGTAGCATAGAAAAGCATAAAGTTGAAGCTAAGTCTTAAGTCCAAATAGCTCAACGACCGGCATCAGTGCGCAACCAATACCTAGCCGTCGTAGGGTTCTTGCGTAAATGGCCAATGTTCGCAACGTCAGGGCCATAGAGAGGTCGCTGGAGATCTGAGGGGCTGCAAAAATGTCGGCCTTTGTGGCACCTGCAAGTCCAGAAGCAGTAAATGTAGCGATCTGGCAGGGCTGGTCCTGTGAAAATGATGCTGTGGACGTGGTGTAGCTTTTAGGAGATGGACTGAAAGCACTGGGCGATGGGATAATCATCATCGGCCGCGCGTCAGTCTCTCCGTTCCTGAACTGGCCGCGAAGCAACCGCGACGCAACAGCAACCCAAGGCATTATGATTGAAATAAAACCAGTCCACAGGTACTGAAAGGGCGCAATAAGTCTATAGATTGTTACGTTCGGCAATGCTCATCCAAAAAAATACGTTATTCCAAGCTTCGGAAAATGCATGCTCCAGTGGTTTGCGCCAGAGGCATTTCTTGAAGTCAAATTGCTCAAGCCGCCCACGACACTTCCAACGACAATCCCTGAGATCAATTCGGCCATCTCTGGCAGCTCCAAGGAAAGAAGTTCACCGAGGAACTCCCAGACATCCTTCCCAGCAACCCCGACTCGTCCCTACCTACCCGGACTTCCCCCCATGGAAACTGGCCCGTATACTTCGTGGAGGTTTTTAATGGAAGAAAAAAAACGACGGTCCTCTTCACATTCCGCCCCAACACGGAAGAGTGCATCATTACGCTTGCTTGCCGCTTGGGCCATCGTCCCCCAATTCTTCCGCAACAAGGTGCACAGGGGCGTTGGCAGCCTTAAACATCAGAGACATTCTGAGACGCACAACAGGACTGTTTAAGCGTAATAAGCGGAACAACTGCACACGTTCACATCATCAATCGAAGATCAACACCGAACATAGCCAAACACAGATCACCAAACCGAGCATCTCTGATCTTGCAATGTCCAAGGCAATGCACAGCAGCTCCTGGTTCTGCTTGAGCTTTGGGTAAAACCAGAGCTGGGCGCTGCGCGCCTGCGTCCGGACCAGGGCTTCATCGTAGGCCGTGTAAGTCATGGCCCGTCGAAACACGGGCAAGTCGCGATCTTCAGTCATCAAATAGGGCAAGTACTCCACGCTGGTGCGCATGCACACCGTCTTGAGGGCAGAAACAAAGAATTGGAGGTGCTCCTGACGAGCCCGAGGTGTTCTTACCAAAGGCTTGAACCTGTTCCTGTTGAAAAAGAATTTGAGAATTCGCATCATGGCTTCAACAACAGCATGACACAAAGTGTTCCTAATTGACACATATTCGCCACAAGTCGCACCTCCACTGATAGATCCGGCTTGCCGGAGAAGAGCTGATTGAGGGCAGCACCCTCTTCTTGGATGAGCAAATCGAACGTGTCATCCTGCAGTCTTCATCCATCCAGAGTATTCCAGGGTAACAATCGAGGCATGTGTGGTTCATGCAGACATTCATCAAATACTAGTAGGGAGACGTAGGGGGACCTGAGACGCGTTAACAACATTTAAGGACGCTCTAAGAGGTTTTAACACCTTTGATGGGTTTTGTGTCACGTTGGCATGGATGAGTTGCATGTGGCTCTGCGGCTCTGCATGTCGCACGTCTCTGTCCTGTACATTCTGGAGGACCAAACACAAGGACTGCCATCCCTGTGCCCTGATACCGAATGGCGTGCGGAAAGAGAGCAGGCACTTCACCAGCATGTGAAGCCCCTGATGGTCCACGAAACACTGGACAATGTCCTTGTTCTTTCTGGAACCGAATTGTACAGCTTTGGCAATCATCCGGAGTTGTTCTATCACGGCATCTGCCTCGCTCACGGTGTGAGGCCAGAAATGGCGAAAATTTGGATCATCGCTCAATGCATATGTCAAATATAATAACATATTGTTCGTCCCCTCAACGGTGAACTCTTCTGCCGGCAAGGGCTCCTTTGGCACCTGCAAAGACTCGACAACTTCACCCACGTAGGCGACGAAAGTACTTATTGACTCAAACATGATCAGACAATCGCTGGTGACAGGTGTTCTGTCGCCACGCCACACACCTGCTTGAGCTTAGACTAGCTGCACAAAGCAAATCTTGCTTCAGCCGATGTCCAAACGCTTATGCTGATTGAGTTCAAATCAGAGGCTGCGAGTTGGACTTGATGTGTCCTTGGAACCAAACTCGGATCCTTGGAACCGGGGATCGAAGATCAAGCTTGATGGTAACAAGGGCGCTACTACGAACAAAAAAAGGGCATCGCTACTAGGAGAGAGGACGTTACGAACGTAGCTCCTGGTCATACTACTAGTAGCAAGGACGCTACGATGATTCCACATGAATTGGCTTGCGCAACCCGTTTTTCTTCTCGACGAGATGCTAGTTCACCCGTCCTAGCCGGCCGCTGTCCTTTCCATTCCGACCATCACTTGTTCCTCGAAAAACACCTTCAAAAGGATTGCCCAAAGGCGTCAATTGAACGGAGTGAATTTCCTTTGTGGATCCAAAACCGGCAGCATCAACGATTGCTCGGCATGGGACATACTCAGCTCTATAGTCTGATGAACATGAATCATCACGTCTCTGTATATGATGTTCGTCGAGTGCGACTCCGCTAGCTGGTTCCATTCCAAACGCACGCCTTTTGACCATGGCCCATCGCAGATCTCAGCCTTATTGAACATTCTTCGATAAGGCTGAGGGTTTGTCCCTATTAAGATACACCCAAGCCGCTAGCCCACCGCAAGGCCGGCTTGGGCCGGGTTAGAAGCCAACCTTGCGTCGGCCAGCTCGGCTGCCGGAGATCAGACCCTCTGGCACCTCGACCCGCTTCGTAGACCTGGAGATGTCAAAGAAATCATCCCCAGGTGGGCTCAGCTGCAGCAATTCTGAGCAGAACTTGCGCCATTCTGAGCAGATGTGCGCAGCATCGCCATAGAATATGGGAGAGGTCACCGCAAAACCTGCTCAGTTGATAACGTCGGCCTGGCCGTGGCGCCAGTCCAGAAGCAGTGAATGTAGCGGTTCGGTAGGTGCTATGAAAATGATGCCATGGATGCGGTGTATCTGCTGGGGACAGGCTGAAAGCACTGGGTGATCATATAATCGGCTGCACGTCAGCCTCTCTGGTCCTGGCTGTGAAAAGCTCTTGACGGTGACCCAAGCCTCGTGCATTACAACTGGAATAAAAAAACCAGAGTCCACAGTTGCTTTATATGGCGTATTACGTTCTGCAATCCTCACCCATTGAGGTGTGTCCTCAAGCTTCGGAAAACCCAGGCTCCAGTGGTTTGCGCCAGCAGCATCTGTTGAACTCAAAGGGCAAAGGCATGCCATGACGCTCCATGGCAGGCATCCACAGGGTAGAAGGCCCCTGGGCAATTCTCCACTCCGTCTCGCTGTCCGCTTTGGTTCCTTCAGCGGCTTTGCCTAACATATTACAATGGCAACTTGTTCGAAGGGTCTGCATTGTGCACAGCTGTAGCCTGAAGTGGCTGCCTGAAAACTTCACCCTTCGACTTCGCGGTGATGTTTCATGGATTCTCTCAATTTGGACCTTCGATTTCCGGACTATGGGAAAAGCAACAGAACGGATGGGCCGGGTGTCATGTCCATGAGACTGCTTGAGGGCTTCAACTGGCCTTTTGTTGCCAAAGTATTGCGTCCATGTTCCTTTCAGATCCAAAAGAAACCTGGATTGCCAAATGAATATTCAAAACGAATAGAGGTGTTCCAGCATTGAGTTGTCTCAAGCGAAACTACTTCCTCCTCGCTATTGGCGAACATCTTCAGAGTCCCAATCGCCGGCAAAAACGACTAAAGCTTAAACAAAGCCAGTGGAGGGTCTCTTGAGTTCTGCGCCCCGGAATATCCCCTTCTGTATCATGACGGGTTCGGGGGCATGTTCAGCCTGCAGTCACCTTCCGGAGCTGGAACGCCGTCCTGGGCTTCGACCACCCTGCGGCTCGGTGGAAGACTGCACATCGGTTCCTAAGGCAAATGAAGAAATCCAGCTGCCGATGTCAAGTATGAGCCCGAACTATGATATCTAATTGGACAACTTCCTCAATTTAAGCAGTAGTAGTACTCTCAAGAAATATAAAAAAAATAGAATAAAAATTAAGATAGCAATAAAACAATCTACGACATTCAATTCAAAGTGTGTGCTTCCCAAAGTGCAAGCTCCTCTACACCCACAGCAAACTATCAAATGTCTGCATCAGAACGTGCTAAGCACTTGACTGACATACTCGATGTCCATGTAGTTGGACTTTGGATATCCATAGCTGTCCACAGCTGTATCCTGTGCCCAGCAATACCTGGCTGAAGCTAAGGAAGCCACACACAACCCGTCATCGCTCCGGCAAGGATCGCATGCGAACGGGTTGAACTCAAAACCCCCACTCAAAACCCCATGGGTTTCACCTCCAACCCATGGGTTGGAGGCTTCAACCCATGGGTTGGAGAGTTTCCTCCATGCTCAAAAACCACACATCTTTCACCTCCAACCATCATCAACCATCCATCTTTCCTCGCCTGAGCCGGAGGAAAATCCTCCAGCAAACCGACTTGGCCGAGGAGCACATCGTACTGCGTGGCCTCGACGATCGGTACCACCTGGTCGTCTCGGCCCGTCAACCTCGCTGCGAAGGGAGACGGAGGCTCCGAGCCACGGAGCGGAGCGAGGGACGAGGGGATCCGATGTCGAGGGGCTTCAGATTGGGTCGAGGCACCCAAAGCCTCTTCATCAAAGAAAGTGATTGACATCGTAGAAAGGCATCGGTTCATTTGGAGTCAACCATGGTGCCCCAGTTTGGACCCGCCCTTTTTAAGACTTCAACAGTGCAGGTATTGTACCAAAATAATCCAAAATATCATTAAAAAAAATCCTATGAGGCGTTAGCCGCTTGTTCTCACCTCGTCTGAAAGTGATGAATAGACAGCCCTATCCGGATTTGGAAGCTGTATGAAGCTGCATGTTGCCTGAAACCGTCCTTTACCGATCCCTGCCTGGGATCTACATTCTCCAACTGCGTGATTTCGATGCTGGAGTTGCTCATCCTTGGAGCAACAAGATCAAGCTGCATAAAACCTCGTGGAAAAGGCCAACTGATGTTTAGACCACCGACATGAGCAAGTTTCGAACCCCTCTAATCAACCATTCAACCATCATCAACCATCCGCTTTTTGGAACTCTAGGTACCTAGGAATGGTTCTTTTGGTTCCTTGTAAATGCCGTAACCATCACCATTAAAGTGTTCATATAGGCCATTGATGAACCTAACCCCCTCACATGTAAAAACTAAGTAGGGTGGATGATGGGCATGTTATTCATCAACCGTCTACATGAGAGTCATGCCCAAGCATCCCATCATTGCTGGCCATCCATTGCGCCGTCAAAATCCGTGTGATGCTCATGTCCGCGGGCGTCTCCCCGCTGTCCAACCGCACGGCCCGACAGTAGGCAGTGCCCGGCTCGTTGAGCGCGAAGATCACGTGGAGGCGATCGTTGGCCACGGTGGGGTCCTGGTGGAGGGGGGTGTTTTGGTTCATTTTTTGGGGGCTCCCGGTTGCCGAAAAACTCTGAAGACCTTGTTGAAAGAATCTTTTCAGATCTTTGTGAACCATTTTGGGATGAGTTCAACAGTTCAACTGCCCCGGGATGTGCTTTCAGAAACTATCTCAAAAAGACAAGCACTCGAACTGGATGAGCGCATCGGCGACATCAACAGCTTGGAGCTTCTGTGGTCTCACAACCTTGGTCGAAAAACATACGAAGACATCCTCGATGTGTAAGAAGCTGAAGCTAGGAGGGCTCTGGTCCAAAGTAGTGATCAAGCCAGTCAAGTTGGCAAAGTCTTGAGCAGTTCCTCAGTCACTTCGTCTGATCTTCCAATCAAAATCCCATGCAGATGCCCCCATATCACCCAGCTCCAACAAGAAGCCCCACCCAGCCAGGCGTCTCAAGGAGATCCTGTTGGCCTCTGCTGGTGCGACAAAGTTCGAGGAGTTCATTCCAGCGGCCGCCTCAGACGAGGCTGCCGAGCAAGGAGGGGTCTACAGATCTACAGTGCTTCCAGGGCGTATAAAAATTGGGGTATAATGGGGTATCATGGGGTAAGTGAGCTATGGATAGGTCGAGTAGTTTCCCGAAAGGCGTCAGCTGCAAAGGCGGTCGATCCTTTTGCGGGGTGCTGCAATTTCTAGCTGCCAAAGTAGCAAAGCTTTGATCACCACTGAGAATAGAACCTACTATTTGCCTTTGTCAATAATGACTGGTATTGACTGGCCCTAGCCCACCTGGAGAGGCCAGTCATCCTCCGCAAAGCAAAAGATCCAGTACTGGTGCTGATGCTCCAAGGGGTAGCTTTGTTGTCCGTCGCGAGTCATGATGCGGTCCATCTGGGACGGATCGGGACAGAATTTCACAGAACTGAGGAACTTCACAGCTGTACACTTCGTTCGTGGTTTGGATTGCACTCTACCGACTCACACGGTATACCAGACAGATCTGTTGGGGATCACCGACCGCTTTCCCAGAAGTATCAACGACTTGCCTTGATGTCCACATCTTTGTGAGCTTCTGACACCTCTGCATAGAAGACGGCCTGTAGCATCGCATCACCTTGGATGAAGCTCTCGTAGTCACAAGGAGAGCCCGAGACGTTGGAGATGTCCTCGAACGTGCAAAACGTGGAGTTCTCCACCTCGACAGGAGCACACCTCAGTGCCACGTCGGGACAGACTCAGACCATCCGGCATCCTGGGCAGATGAGGGTGCTAATGACTCTTGATTCATAAAGCCTCCCCCGTCCGCAAGTCCGTGCATCCATTTGGGGGGAGGTTTCTATCAAGAGTCGACGTTATCCGATGTGCCTGAGGGCCCAACCACACTGTGCCCGGCTCATTCAGCTGCAAGCGAATCTGAAGAGAAGACTCACTGGGTGCAAAGACGTCCACCAAAATAAGCTCCGGTGGAGTGGAATCCACCACCCAAACGTTCGAGGTGAAGCCACCAGATGGTGTACTCGGAGAACCGATCGCCTACAAGAACCAATGTCCAACAGCGACACACAGGTTGAAATGTGGTTTGTTGAAGACCTTTGGAGCATCCTAAAACCACCCAGGAAAAATCGTCCATACCTAGCAGATCTGGCTTGGCGATCTGATAACTAGCAGTAACATCCATTAACTCATCTCTGCTCTGATAGCTTGGCTCCCGGCATTCGCGATGTAGCTGAAGGACATCCAATTCGGGATCGCAAAGCCCTTTGAATCCACCGCAGTATCTTTGGCCGCGCAGTATCTCAGGTATGGGCAAAGATGAATGGCAAGGGATGTCTTCTGCCCCAATATTTGCTCTCCCTCAACGAAATCAATTCCAAGCAAACGAAGACGTTCTATGCTGTTCTGAGTTCATTGGAAAGATTCCGGAGTCAGAAACATGTGGAACTGGACCAACAGCCACAATCACTCAGAGTCCGTAGAGGGGGAACAATAACATGATGCATGTATCTATATAACTTCCCAACAGCTATCGCTCGGGCACCACAACAACATCTGTGCTTCTCGCCCATTGGTTCACCCCAAACAAGAGCATCCTTGACATCTCCGAGAGACATGTCATACTGTGAAGCTTCATAGATGGGCACTGCTTCCACTGCATTCTCCAACTTCGAGATTGTGATGCTGCTGGCGGATGTTCCACCATCATGACCCGCGAACCAGCCGGCGCTCAGGATCCGGTGCAGCGTCATGTCGGCCGCGGTTTGCCCGGAGTCGGAGCGAGTGGGACGACCTCACCCCGGTGGACATGCTATTTTTGGGAGGCCCTACGAAACGGATCGAAAAGGACGCGCTTTTCACAAAGAAATGACACATGCGTTCTTTTGGACAAAAATACTTGCAAGGTCTTGTCAGAAAAGCAAAGAAATTCATCGGTACTATGTCGGAATTGTCTTTTGTTCCTTTCTCAGGTGGCTTGAGTTGATTCATCACAAAGCTGAGGTGAAGACAGTAGGCTGTACCAGGTTCATTCAAAGTGAAGGTCACCACGATCCTGCGCAGCCAAATTGATTCAGGCTGCAAGGCACTGCAAGGCACTGCAAGGCCAAGCGATTGGAAGCAGGAGAGGTGAGAAGCAATAAGTTGTTTGCTTGTTGATGTCCAGATTGCATTCCCCTTCAACTACAGTAGTTGTCAATGTCAGTGCCCCTTCTTCTGGATGTCTGATTCTAGTCCTTAGTCCTTCCTACCTGTGAAAAACAAACGAACTTCAAGCACATGATAGCCCCAATACCTTCCATTCTTTCTTCGAACGAACGCCAAACACACGAAGAACCCAACCGGCCAAAACCATCCAAAACCGAAGACTTTCGAAGGCGGCTGACCCCAAACCCTCCGAGCTACATATTTTATCCTTACAGCCTGGTGTCACCCATGAAAACACTTAAAAACATCCAAAGGTGTTTGTCTCTGCTCGAAAGCTTTCTGGTTTTGCTGCAACTGTTCTTCGACCGCCCGGCAACGACACGTGCCTGTCGTTGGCCACAGTGGGATCTTCGATCGCCAGCATGGTGAAGCTGGGCGGAGAGGTGTCCAAGGTTCGTTGCACTCCGATCGAAGTCCTGCCGTTCTGCTCATCTCAAGCAGATCCGACACCCCGAGGGTCTAAAGTACCGCGCTGATGGTTGTTTTTTGACGGAGGGAACCTTCTTGGCAACTCAGAATGGCCTTGTTTTGTGAAATCTCAAGAGTTTATCATGTAAAACTAATCATGTATACAGCCCCAAAAAACTCTTGAATCAAATGCCAAAACACCATTTTGGGGCAAAGCCTGACATAAATCACCAGACCTGGGAATTGAGCCAGACTCGAGTTCGAGTCTGGTTTCAAGGGGGGTGGTACAAAGGTTGTACAATGGCGTACAATATGTGTCATTCCTCCCATTCTCGGCACCCGAAGATGCCTCAGGCACCAACTTCCAAACCCCGAATCGACTTCCTCACGACGTTGGCATCTGCAAAGCTCACCGCATTCCGCAGGCTCTGCGTGACGAAGTTCACCGAGCTCAGCGGCGCACCATTCGCCTGGACAGAACGCAGGTCCAGAACGTGGACGGTCGAGGTGAGCAGGGGCGACGTAGACTGAACCAAAGAGTTCAAGGCTCACAACTGTCCTGGATAGAGGAACGAAATGGAAATAAAATAAAATAGTATGAAATAGTCATCAGTTTTCCCAAGTTTTCTTGTGAGGGTCTGCATTCGTTTGAGTGTAACATTCCATGTAACAGCTATGTAAGCCCATGCCGAAAGAGTGCGAAGCTCTCGACGAAAACAAAACAACTTTACACATCAGGTTCAAGCAAATGTTGTCTTTTAATCACTTAAAGATCTTAAAGAGATCAGATCCCGCCCTGGAGCCAAACATGGTGCTTGTTTGGGGGGGCTTTAAAATGGGGTCAAGAAGCCACCAACGAAGGGCTTCAGGATGCTTCGCCGAACCTCAGTTCCCCTGCTTCGCCGGGGTCCAACCCTTCGTTCGCTTCGACCAAGCCGACCAGTACGCAGCAGGCCTGGTCGCTCCAGTCATCTTCGGCATAGCAAAAGACTTCGTACTGGGACTCTGAGGTGAGAGCTTCCGATGCATTGCTGCCAATGGGATACAACAGATTCATATTGATCGAGTAATCCACAAAGGCTTCATGGACCTCGGCCCTGAAGTTGTTGCCTTGAATAAAGTTTAGCCAATAGCAGTCAGCACTGGCGGATTCGTTCTGGATGTCCATGCTTTGGCATTGTGTGGCTATGCCAGCCATATCACCTCATCAAAGAAGCTATGAGAAGTGAGACTGATGTGTTCACAATGTTTCTGAACTCAGGGTCAAGCCTTTGGCTTATCAGAACTGAGGCCTGCACTGGGCTGACACCAAACCTGGAACGCGCAAATCGCCCTTCTTTCAATTCACCGAAACAATTGGCTCACAAGGACCAATATAGGCCTTGTCTCCCAAAAACGGGGGGGAAAAGAATGGAAAAGACAAGGCCACGCCCCAAGATGTTCTTGGATGGGTTCATTTTTGAACCACGCCCTGATGTCCAATTCCGAGTCGTTCGTGGGGCGGATCTCGATTCCAAACCGATTCGTCTCTCGATTCGCCGAGAACGGCGCAGCGTGTTCGTCGTCTCAGGCCACGACAGTCCCTGGCTCGTCCAGCTGCAGGATCACCTGAAGCTCCACTGCTGAGATGGCCTGCATGGAGCGAAGCGAAGCGCAAGCGCAGCGAAGCGAAGTGGCTGCGGATGGGAGCGGTACATACATAAGTGATTTTGAAGATCTCTGAAACCAGTAAAACCAAGCGCAAAGATACCCATGAGAGGCAAACAACTGAGTTGTCTAACACTTTGGGTTTCAAAGTCTGGTCGTGCGAGGTTGTCTTCAACACTGGTGTGTGGAGGAAAATCTCTTGAACCTACATGTCGTATCTGTTGGTGACTTTTCCACAACCAAAAAACTACACTCTGACTCACTAACATGGAATTGGATGGCAATGGCATGGTCCCTTGGAAGACTACTTTCCTTTACGAACAGGGGGTGCCATCCACTGAACCATATGTTCGGCACCTGAGTGTACCTGAGTGTATTCTCAGCTGCGATGTTCGGTCGTCTCGAAGGGACCCCCGCCACCCCACGAGGCCTCGGCATGGACGAGGATCATGGTCGGAGGAGTTGTGTCTACGACCCAAACTCCTTTCGTCTTGCCTGGCAAGGTGGCAGTCTAGCGGTGTTCTCTAACAAGACATGATATATGACCATGTATAACTTTATAGAAGTGGATCATCTTGTAAAGCTTGGATTGACCGTGGTATACCATGGTTATATGTAACGGCTGTGATCACTGTACTCAAGATGTTCATTGAGGTTCAAGTGACTTAGAACTCTTCCAGAACTTCTTCAGATTTGTTTCGGATCTCTAGACTTCACTCGTTTCATTCATCGTCCAACATCGTGCCACTTCGTTCGTCATCGACCTCCCAAAGGGCTGCTTGTGGAGTTGCTCTCCGTGACAACGTAGCTCTGCTGCATGAGGTTGGCTCGTGGAAATCCCGCCGTGTCCACTGCGCTGTCCAATGCCCAGCAGTAGACGTCGTACTGGTGAGCCTGTCGTGGGTCAAAACCGCTTCTACGACAGGGCAGTGAACGGAGGGGACGACAGGGCCTCAGGAGGCCATGCTGGAAAGACTCCCTGGGCTCGGGCGTGCATTCCCCGCAAAGAAGGCCCACAAAAAAATACGAAAGGAAATCCTTGAAAGCCATATTAAACCAATCAATATAAACCAATAATGCCCTAAAACAACCAGCTGACTGGCAGCGTTCATGTCGCCAATATATATATAAGTATAGACGCGCTGGCCTCCTGGATGGGCGCGTTCAACCGAGCCGAGTCATCGCTGTTCTCCAGCGCGGTGATCACGATGCTGGATGGCGCAGCCGATCCATCGTGTGCGCTGGACCACTGGGCTGTCTGGATCCATCCAATGTACCTGGGCTGAGACACAGGTATAAGACATCATAGTACCACAAATCCATACAAATCCCATACAAATCATAGTATTATAAGACAAATCCATACAAATCCCACAATCTTCAAGAATTCCTTTCCACCGCTCTTAGGTTGGAGGCCTTTTCCACTCCAAGACACATGTCCTCCTCCACCTCTCCGGAGTCGGAGCGCGTGGCGCGGCAGTAGGCCGTGCCCGGCTCGTTGAGGGCGAAGGTGACCTCGATCCGGTCGTTCCACGCGGTGGGGTCCTGGATGAGGAGCTCCGTGAAGCTGGGCGGCGTCTCGTCCAAGGTGGTGACGTTTCCCAAGGCCTCCTGAGGATGAGGATAGGATAGGTGGGATGCGTGCAGACGGAGGACACTAGGAGATATAGGAGAAGATCGCTTGACTGGTAGAGACAGTTGGAAAAAATGCAAAAGGACTCAAAATGGAGTTCAGATTTCCAAATATTGGAGTTTCGATCATAAGTCTCATCACAGATCGGCAAACCTTGATTGTGATATCAAGTTCGACCGGTGCTTCAGGAGGACTCCAATTGCAATCGATGGCCCCACTGGCCCCTTGAAGCCCCTTGGTTCCTGCAGTTTGGACACTTGCGAGGCATCCACACCGACATCGAAGCTCATCTTGTTGGGCACCGATCCAGCACCTGAGGCCAGGATTCACCACGAGTCAGAAGAGTGTGCTGTCTTCATGTTGATGTCGTGCATGGGAGGGAATGTCAAAGCCTCATGCATCCGAAAATCCCAGATGTCAAGCTGGGTGGGTCGCTCAATGATACGCATGCAAAGCTGGTCTTCCGATCAACTGTTGATGTTGACTTTGAAGGCTTTCACTTTAATGGGTCTTTTGATGGGTCTGTAGAATGGGACCAATGTTGCCATTCTTGCTTGTAAGTTGCCTTTGCTCATTGGATCAGCATTCACCCTGGGTGTTGATGATCAGCTCAAGTATGGGTCAATGTCGTTCCAACCACCACACCCAGAACGGCACTGCCGTGGAGAATACAAGAGTTCACTCAAAAATTTGAGTCAAACCAGAGTCAAAGCCATACATGTGTGATCTTTTGTCACACCGTTTCATGAGCAAGCTCGTTTTAAGGTAAGCTCTCTTGATCATCACTGGGCTCCAGACCATCCGGCTCATCGTCTTCTGCGAAGCAGTAGATGTAGCCGTACTCGGTGCTTTCCAGAAGTCCGCTGAGAACAATGGTCACCTGCAATGCTTCCAGCTTCGCTCCGAGAAGAAATCCCTGGATTCACTCCGTTCCGGACCAACGACTGAGTGGGAGAGTGATGTTCGGACTTTGAAACCAAGAATTCCACTGCAATCCATCCGCATCTCGGTGCCCTTGTGGGCCGATCCACGGTCCGCCTGGGTCTCACCTCTATCGTCGGTTTCCTGGAAAAACCTTCGACTCTCGGAGAGACCGAGCGCACGGAATTCTTCAGATCCCAAGCAGCCAAGCGACATCCTCATGGTGTCTCCATGTCTGATAGTGCCGGTAGTCGTCTTCGCTGGACATGCCGTCCAGCGTGGTGTCCTAGCAGTTTCGTCCACGAAGAGAGCGTCAGAGACTCCAAGCTTGCTTGGCTGGAAGCCAAGTCCATGTCACGGTTCAAAAGGAAGAACATGAAGCATGAAGAAGTTCAGAGAACACCAACTTAAGATAGCTTAAGAGTATTCAAGTAGCCAAAAGTCTTGACAAGACATGACAAGACACTTTTGCAATTCTGCTCACGTGCTCAGCTTCAACCAGGTCAACAGGTCTCCTCCAAATCATCCATGTCATAAACCCAAAAGCTGCCACAATCTCTGCCCCAAGAGTCTTTGCAAGTGCCTGACATGAGAAACTCTGGACATGCGCTTATTGCTGGGCAAGAACTTAGCTGGGCAAGAATCGGGAGGCGTGCAGGTGATAACGATAGCAAATCTGCCATTTTAAACAAGGACAAAGGGAGCAGATCAAGCCTTCCCAGTTCTTGATGTTTGCTTCATAGTTGGAGGCGTTCAAGTCGCTCTCTGACAAAGTGCTCCACGCCTAAGAAAACGTGTTTGTGGCAAAGAACAAGTTCACTGGAACATGCATAGCTTGGAAAAAAATCTAGAATACAATCAAGAAAGATTTCAACAGCAGTGCTTCACCATGAGGTACCCTGTCATGGTTTCACACATGAGCGAACTTCTTGCTTTTTGATTGTCACCTCCACAGGAGCAAGGATCGAACGGAAGGTCGAACGCTCGGCAGGAGGAATCGTCTCAATTGAGCGAAGCTCCTACCGCCCAAGGCCCCGTACGGCGCACCACACTCGCGAGCCTTCGTCTGCCTCCACGCTGCGGAGCACAGTCTGAAATCAGCGATTCTTCTGAGTCTGAGGCCACAGACCGACCCCATCTTGGCCCGGTCAATCAATGACCACAGCAAAGACTGGGTCGGCAGTGTGGGTCGGCCGTCCGAAACATCGAGACTTGGCTAGACTTGGCACAGAGTCTCTGAAGCCCTCATGAAGTTACCCTCTGAAGCTACCCTCCCACGCCCTCCCCACGTGGGACACCGCCTGAAGGGTCACTTGAATGGTGTCCCGGGCGATGGACCGAAGATCCACCGCAGTGAGCTGCGGAGGGGTGGTGTCCTGACCGCGGAACACAGACCAGAACTCGCCGTCGTTTCATGTCTGGGGGGGGCCGCAATTCGCGTTGGACAACATGTCACATCCAGAAAATCCGCACATCTTGCGACCGAAACATCGAAAAAACACGACTTGTTCGAACTACATCTCTGCTGGAAACATCGAAAACAAGAGTAGGGCGTGCTCTACTTGTCCCTCGTACTGGGAATTGAAGAATGAACACAGAGATACCCAGAGCTTTTCTTCTAACTTCATCCCACGTAATAAATATCGTTTCTCTTGTGTGGCTGAAGGTACAGGGACCTTCTCTGCAAACATTTCCCCGCCCGTCCATCGTGCGGACGCTCGTCAGGGTGGCAGCGATGGCGGCCGTGTCGATGCCGGAGGGCTGTTGGCAGCCGACGCCTCAGATCACGTTCCAAAATGTCACCCGAATCACAGGTCGCCTCAGTTGCAGTGGAATTCATGTCGCCATATTCGAAGAATCCTGGAAGTGGACAGGCACCTATTTGTCGAGGCATGTTCCACTTCAATTCTTTCAGGGACATAGCGGGGACGCATGAGTCCTGCCTAACATTGGGCGCGTTTTCAGGCACAGAGTCCGCAGACGTCGCGCAAGTGTTGGGCGGTGGACATGGTGGTTCACTGAGCCGGAGGTGCACGTCCGATCCGAGCAACGAAGGCCAATGTACAAACCTGGGAGCAAACAGGTTGTGCCGAAGATGACATCCACCCTAAACCAAATGGTATCAAATGGTTCCCGCGGCACGAACAGAATCAAGCTTATTTGGCCAAAGGCCAACCACTGGGAGCTTCACCCATGTCCCCCCCCGGTCTTGTCTTCCTCAGGCCCTGCATTTAGCTCCCCAAAGTCATGGGCTGAGGAGCAAGAGTCATCTTCGGCATAGCAATAGACCTGGCAGCTTCAAGAATTCAATCCTTCGGAGGCAAGGATGAAGAAGGCACTGATGCGGAGTGAATCATAGCAAGTCAAACCATGTAACATATGATCATGCTTGATGTTTGACACATGGTTTGCATTGTAGTCCCTTGCCAATCAACCAAGTCCTGCAAAATTGAAAAATAGACTTCCAGCAAAGAAAGGAAACAGAAGTTGAAGAAAATTGAGATGTCCCTCATTGTCCCTCTACTTAAAAGATCATCACCAACGACGATGTATGAGTCATATTGACAGCTGCAGAGACCCCACCTCATAGTCGGTGCCCCGCACCAGTGGCACAGACCACGCCGCACCCACACCCGACTCACTGGTCATGGTCACAGTGCCGTTGTAGGGCGCCACCAGCAAAGGAACGCTGAAATCTGCCGCCAGAATCTCCAGCAAGGTGGGGATGGCGAAGCCACGACGCACCGCCCGGCACCAGGCCTGCAGATTGGGTGGGTTCGGCCTGATCGATTGCTGCCAAGCCATGAGGTCCGGGTACCTCCGGATGTCCGCCCGGTGTCTATTTAGTACTCCGGTGCCATTGGCCGGAGACAAAGTATCTTCGAAGTCCGATTCCTCACATCCTATGGCCCTGTAGAGTCTTGACTCATCAAACTCATTCATTTGGATTGTAAAACCCCTCTTCCTTTGGTGGTTTGGGTCTCCACCACTTGCGCCACCCGCTGCGTTTCAGGCTCACCGTGCGGAGCCGGCGGGTTGGAGTCAAGAAACCGTGCCCGGCTCGGAGAGGGTCGCCAGCACCGTGATCTGCTGCTCCGTGGTTCCCACGCTGGTCACGGTGAGGTTCGGAGGGCTCAGGTCCAGGGTACTCCTGGTGCCCGCCGCGTCCTTGAAAGCCACGACTTGGGGCAAGGTGCTGCGCTGCGGCGACAAGGAAGATGCATTGAAATAGACCTGGAGACTCAGAGGAAGACAAATAAAAGGGAAAGAAACTAGGTGGAGGCCATCGCTATGAGGTTGGAGGCCATCGCTACTAGGAACAAGAAAGTTTTCGAGTATGTCTTTGAAGTTTCTTAGTATATAACTAGAAGCTACTAGGTGGAGGCCATCGCCATTAGGTTAGATCTGGAGAGGACACACGGAAGACGGAAGTACACAGAACGGTTCATGATTGGATACTGCACCCAGGGCCCAGGTGGTTGGAGGATCGGACTTGGACATGGCCCCCTCAACATCACCTTTGGTTGTTAGTGGCATTCCATCATTCACTGGTGAGCTTTCGGGTGGTTTTGTTGTATTTGTATTTCACACTCCACTGGTGAGTTTTCAGAGGTTAAACCGAGCAAACAAGGACGACACACACTCACTCTCTCTCTCTCTCTCTCTTTCTCTCTTTCTCTTTCTCTCTTTCTCTTTCTCTGTTTCTCTTGCTCTTTCTCTCCTTCTCTCTTTGTCTCTTTCTCTCTTTCTCTCTTTGTCTCTTTGTCTCTTTATCTATCTATCTATCTAGCTAGCTATCTATCTATCTATTTTTATCTTTACTTTTCTCCTTCTCTTTCTCTCTTTCTCTCTGTATCTCTTTCTCTGTCTCTTTCTTTGTTTCTGTCTCTTTATCTGTTTCTTTCTCTTTCTCGTGTTCTTTCTCGTTCTGTTTCTTTCTGTCTCTCTTTGTATCTTTCTCTTTCTTTTTCTCTGTATCTTGCTCTTTCTCTATTTCTCTCTGTCTCTCTTTGTCTCTTTCTCTTTCTCTCTTTCTCTCTCTTTCTCTCTTTGTCTCTTTCTTTTTATATCTTTCTCTTTTTATTGTTCTTCCTCTCTTTGTCTCTGTCTTTTTCTCCTTCTCTTTCTCTTTCTCTCTTTCTCTCTTTCTCTCTTTCTCTCGTTGTCTCTTTCTCTATCTCTCTCTTTTTCTCTCTCTCTCTCTCTCTCTCCCTCTCTGTCTGTTGGCATGTCTTGTCCTTCGGCAAACCGTCAACTAAATCCAGCCCTGCACATTGATCTTTGCCAAGGCACTGAAGTGAGGTCACTGGCTTGGGCTTGGGATGGCCAATCATCTTCAGCAAGGCAGAAGATCTTGTACTCCGTCTCCTCTGGAGCAAAAGAATTCCTTTAAAAATCCGTCCAGATCAACCTGGCCCATGTCAGGCTCACATTGGGACTCCTTCGAAGTCCCATTCTCCCTTCGACGGCAGTAGGAATGCTGCAAAAACTATTTATCCCTGTTCGAGCAGGGTCACTCAAATTGCTTGGCTCTCATGAACGTTCTCTCTCAAGCCACATGTTTCCCAAAAATCCGTCCAAAGAAGTCATTGAAGCCTCACACTTCAAGGCACCGGTTCTCCCTTTCCCGTTCACCCGGAAAAACGCGGCGCCCAGTCCGGCAAGAGAGGATCACCTTGGGTCAGCCCCTTCTGCCAGATCCGATTCATTTCCACGCGGACGTAGGTGAAGGGCAGAGGGACTTCTGCACTGAAGCTGGTGCCCAGCGCAACCGATCCTCTCAAGGGTGATCCGGCCTTTCTCTCTGTGTCAAAATGTGTGAACAAACGCCACTTGGGTGTTTGCCGCAATCCATCTTGCACCAGGGATTGGTGCATGTGGAGTACTTTACTCAAACATGCTTAATTGTTTTCACATCCACACCACATGTTCCTCCATGCCTTTTTCATACCCCTTTCACCCGATGATCGATCCTTTCATGAAGGTCTCCCAATAGCACTGAGCAGAAGGATCGGAGGAGATGTCGTCTTCCCGGCAGTAGACAGAGCTGGCAGCCGTGAGAGGTTCAGCTACTTGGCCTTGGTTCAAGGGCTCCACGCAGCTCCACAGAGCTCCAACCGTTTGGTCGATCTTCAGAACAATCCCAGTCGAAGAGGCTTCATTAAGCTCAGTGGCTGCAGAGATGTTGAGATGGCTTGGGTGGATCCCTTCTCGCCAAGGTCTTCTCAGATCAATGAAGTTTCGAAGTTTTTCTACCACACTCCGAAGGTCGCAACCAATGAACCCTCATCCGTACTCCGAAGGTCGCAACCACATCATGGATCCCAACAATTTGGATGGCAAACGATGTAAAACGAGTCACAAACTTGGGAGGCCTAAACCTGTGGTCATGATGGGTCATTTAAATCCCTCCTGCTAGTTGGAAAAGAAAGGTCCAACCAATTGATCGACTTGGCACATGCAGTGTCAACCCTTTCGCCGTTCGCATGAGGTCCGCTACCGAGGCACACCACACTGTCCCAGGTTCGTTCAGCTGCAAGACCACCTGCAAGGTATCCTGGTGACCGAAGACACCGACTTCACCGGTGCACCTGTCATCTGATGCTGGATGGAGCTATGAATTGCGGCATGCTGGAGGAATAGGTGCTTGCAGTGGTGCTTGCAGTGTATTGTGTGTAATTACCAACATCCCAAATGTCTTCCTTCAACTTTCATGTTCATTCAAGATCGGCTCCTCAGTCTTCACCCCTTCCGCAGCCACAAAGAGCATGGATGGGGGCGTGCTGTCTGTGACCCAAACAGCTTCCTGAGAAATGATCATCTTCTGAGCTGAACTGGCATCTGCTGGCTGTGGCTTTCTCACTTTCATGAAGATAGCATCACATGCACGTTCATGAGAGTATTCAGTTTGGACCAAGAACTTAGCAATGTTCAAGTCGGCCTCACCAATCCTGAAGCGCCAAACATAGAGAATCTGGCTGACTCTAAGTGCCCTGCGATCTTCCCACCACTTGGAACGCTTCCGTTCCCCACGCCCGTCGTGGCATAGCTGTGCCTCGGCCCGGCCGGCCCGGCCGCTGGACGTTTCCGGCACCGGTGGTGCCCGGCCGAGCGGCGTCATGTAATTCGGCCGCGCGTAGCCTCGGGAGTCCACGGCACGGTCTTCCGCCCAGCAATAGATGTCGTACTGCTGAGCCTGGAGGGTGGGAAAAGAGCGGTTTAAAGTTCGAAACCTCTCGGACACGCGATAAAGCGTAACAAAAGGAAACAAAACAACCACTACAACAACCTCTACCACTACCTGTGGACCTCCGGATCAGTGCCCAGCCTCCACCACAGCTTCGCTTCCGCCCTGCACCGTCGCCGTCATCTCCAGCGTCGCCTCGTCGCCGTCGTAGGTCGCCGCCCAGCCGGCGCTCAGGATCCGGTCCACGGTCATCTCCAGCGGCGTGGCACCCGCGTCGCGCCGCGTGGGGCGGCAGTAGGCGGTCCCCGCCTGGCGGCAAGGAGATGCAAGGCGATGCTGTATAGAATCCCTGCTGCACGATCATTGAGATTACTTTGGTTGATAGCAATCGGTGAAAAATCCCTGTCTTCAAAGGGAATATATATATATATATATATAGTGTAGCAGTCCAGTCTAGTAGCTACTATTATTACAAGTATTTGTAGACCTATCGATGCCTATCGTATTCTTGAGAATTTCACCAACCAGGCCCGGCAACCAGGCTACCTGACATCTCTGCAGCAGTTCGAGTGAACCCCCACAAAGCCCCGAAAAAGAAAAAAAAACGACTTGGCCTCGTTGAGCGTGAAGGTCACCACAATCCGATCGTTCGTGGCCGTGGGGTCCACAGCCGTCAAGGACGTGAAGCTCGGCGGGGCCTGACGAATACAGCGTGGCCGGAAACGGATGCCTTGATTCACGCCAAAAAGGGACTAGAGTTAATTAAGATCCATTGTCTTGTTGGTATACATACATATATATATATAATATTTATATTATATATATATATACATGCAGAAGCTGAAATGTTCTGAACCAACAATACGGCAAAAAAGTCATCGATCTGAACTCAAAAATGTCAATTCCATTCTCCAAATTCAAGGCCTCATCCAAGGTCGTCAAGTTTCCAATGGCCAACTGAAGGATCCTGGCAGCGGCCAAATCCACCTTGTTGGGACTTGTTGGAGCTTGAAGGTTCACCGAGTTGGAAGCAGCTGCCTGGGCGATTCGCGCGGAATCGCGTCTTCTTCTCTGGTCTGTTTCGTCTTCAGGGACCTGCAAGGACCTGGAGGCTCCATTGCTGAACATTCAGGAACCTCTTCCACCTCAAAACTGATTTAACCGCAAACGAGTGAAGATGTAGTAGTTTGACCCCAACCGGCCGGCACTAAGCCCACGGCGACTTGTGTGGGCCAGTCATCTTCTGCAAAACAGAAGAACGTGTAGGCTGTCTCATGCTGCAGAGGTGTGCTGCTGGTCGCATTGCGTGTTGGAATGCGGTTGATGTCGATGCTCACATCGCGAAAGGCTTCATGCACCTTGGATGTTGGACTCTTCATGCTAAGCCCGGTAGAAGAAGTGAGAAAGTGCTCGACAAGTTGGAAGGCTAGCGTTTAAGCGTTTTATGAGAATCTGCACTGTTGCTTTGGCTTCAAAGCTTCAAAAAACTGTTCTCATGGTGCCTCCATGCGGAACTGGGTGTCATTCTGCCCTTTCACAAAGTCCTCGAAGAAGCAGGGGCTGTCTGGAGAGAGGTCCTGCCGGCAGAAAGCAAAGCCCCGTGTAAAGAGACATCGATCAAATAAGAACACTCTGAGGACGGTCTGTCGCGGTAAAAAACCATTATAAACATCGGAGCTCGGAGCTCTTGATCTGGCAGCTCCAGTTCACATGAGTCAAGTTTAAAGGATTTTAGCGGGGCGAGAAGAGGTTTGTCAATGTTCGTGCACCGTTTTGATAGTCCCAAACTCCGACATGAAACCCCCAAAGGCAGTTGCTTTGGATTTCTTTGGTTTTTGCACTTGGTGGTCGTGGACACGGACCACATGTTTCCCTTGAGAGCCTTTTCATCCACTACAGCCACGACATCGGCTTCTGCGCATCAGGCCTGCACTTCATCTTCTGCACAATTCTCTGTGGTGACACTAGCCTTGGTGAGCGTGATAAGGATGGCAATGTGCAAGAACGAGTCCAAAATCATCTCTTGCAATATGGAGAGAAAAACATCACCTGCCATATGAAAGTCAGGTCTGCCTGGTTGGCAAGCGCCTGTTTGATTTGTCAATGTGTGGAGAATTCAAATGCAAAATAGGTGTCCAGCCCAGGTTTCCAGAAATCGACTTATGACTCAAGTATGTAGCACCAAATAGTTTGCTGCTTGAAACCACTGCACCACAGGGCAAAAAGCAAAACACCATGTCTGAAGCCCTGAAGACCTGAGATCCCCCACCACGACGTCGGCAGCCTGACACCTGCAAACCATCCGCGAACCGCTCGACGAACCGCTCTCGCGGCGAACCGCTCATGGAAGGATGCTCAAAGGTCAGGTGCCCAAGCTCGACCCGATCGTCGACGGGTCAATGGTAGGATCAATTGAACCGAAGCAACCTAAAGTCGGTGTCTCAACCCCCCTGAACCCACCACCTCCCTGGAAAGTAAGCTTTCGTGGGGGGGTGGGTTGAAAAATGGGTTGAAAAAAGGTGTCTGATGGTTTCTCACTTTGATACGGTCAGCCATGCTTCTCCCGGTCGGCGGAAGAGCGGTGCTGCATGATGCGGGTCGGCCATGGATTTCCACTCATCATCCATGGGCCCCAGAAGGATCCAGAAGTACATTGGGTCTTTCATGGTCTTTCCCATTACCAGCAACAGTGGATGATGGTTCAGTTGCAGGCCTTTCAAGATGAAACAGTGATGTGCTTATGTTGCCGACTGCTACAGGGTTTATTGGGACAGGCCCAATAATGATATACAAAATTATACAAAAATAAGCCTTTCAGAGCTGGTGCATGAGTCTCTTCCTTCTTGCTTCACTTCGCTGGTCGCGTCGTTCGGGGCACCAGATGGTTCCAGGCTCATCCAGCTGCAACGTCAGTTGGATCACCTCCTTTCAGTGGTGAAACCAAAGGGATTGCAGGTTGCTTTGGGTATCTTCTGCTGGTTTTCAAAACACACTTGTTGACTGATTGCTGAACATGTCAGAATGTTAATGAATGTTAGCTACTCTGCCAAGTAGGTAGGTGTTTGAGCTACAGCTAACTGATGCTAACTGTGTTTCACCATGTTTCACCCTCCATTTTCCGGCACTCTCTTCAGACTCACTTCCCATCTCTTCCCTCCCATCCGACCGAACCGTCTCCTGGCCAATGGACTCACCCCGAACAAACATCCTTAGCGTGCCGGTAAGAGCGGTCTCCTCTCCCGGTGAAGGTGGAGGGCGCACTGAGGACGCAGCATGGTGGGCGGTGTGGTGTCGGCGATCCAAACTCCTGGCGTTTCAGGAGTTTCATGAGGTGGAAAGATTGGTTCACGATCCCCGCACGGATCGTGAAGCAATCCGCACCTCATTCCACCTAGTGGTCCGCGCATCACACACCGGTGTTTTCGGTCCTGCCGTACGCCCTCCTTGAGGGGAGGTGGGTTGCACCACATCTGACCAAATGTAGTTCGTGGTCATCAGGTTGGGTCGAGGAGTGCCTCCGTCATTCGTGGCGTCGTCCTGCGGACGCAGCGAACGCAGGTGGAACAGCATGGAAGTCTCCGGTCGAGTCCAGTTCGATTGGTCCACTTTGATGGCATGAATGCAGAGCTTTTCAGACTTCTCGCAGAAGTGATGTTCGACCTCCTTGCACTAGACCTTGCGTTTCACACCAAACAAAGCCGCAACAAGCGAGGCCACAAGCGAGTCCTTCGCCAGGCAATACACATCATATTGATGAGCCTTGCGCAGCTTGGGCATCACTCAGCATTGTCCCACGCGCGTCGACATCGACGTCGACATCGACTCCACCTCTTCGAGCTGACGGAGCCGGTTCCTTCCCTTCCGCACGGCGCCTGGTCGAAAAAGATATCCAGGTCATCTCTGTTCGTCAAGGCGGGGTCCAGATTTTCCAACTTGGTCATTGTGATGTTCGACCTTGAGATCTGAATGGCGAAGATCCGATGTGTGAGATCTGAACAGAAACTTGATCCGATGGGGTTCCTTCAGATAGGTCTCAAATAACACTGGACAAGCAGACAATTATGTTTTGCGGGGGCCTGATTCTGACCAACAAACTGTCATCGGACCCTTCTCTGGTGCTGCATCGGTATCCAACTTGTAAAGGGATGATATATGATATATGAATATATATATATATATGATATATCATTGATATTTATATATATATATATATTATAAAAAAAAAAAAAAACAGCAGCATACTCCTCATATCTCCTCATTCATGAGTGTTCTCCCGGCTCCTTTTGTCTCAAACAAGCTGAGCTCAGCATGCCCACCCACCGCTCCATACCGCTCCATACCGCTCCTCCGAGGCTCCACACGGCACCTCACTCCCGTTCTGCGTGTTGGCCCAGCCAGCTCCCATGATGCGAATCACCTGCCTTCACCGAAACTTCGACGGGAAACACCAGGAGGGAAGGCAGGATTTTCACCATGTGATCGATAGAGTGCAACTGGCATGCTCTTTTGCATAAATCTGGTTTGATGAACTGTTATAAGCACAACTGTGCATCCAGTGGACAGCGCGACTATCATGCAATCCCCGAGACTCGCACATGTCTGCAGCTCCCTCTCCAGAGTCAGATCTCGTTGCTCGGCCTTGGATGTTTTGCAGTAACTACCTGGAACCCGTTGTATTTTGGACCAAATACAAACATGAAAGAAGGTGAAAGAAAAAAATATGAAAAAATGAAGTGGCCAAAACTGGCACGTCTTTTGGCTGCACAGAACAACGATTCGAGCAGTTCTACAGTTCTATGTCCCGAGAGGCTTCTTGAAAATTCCAAGATCTTCCTCCATCACCACCTGACCTCATGATGCTGAGCTACAATAGACCGTGCCCGGCTCGTTCAAGGTGAAACTCACCAGAATAGAGGCTCCATCTCCAGGGTCATCGATCGCCAAGTAGGTAAAACTTGGTGCTGTAATATCCAGCGTGGTCTTGCTGCCAATAGCGTCCCGCAACACATGTACAGCGTTCAGCGAAACCTGACCAAAGGATTTGAGCGGGCCTGTGAGTCGGATTGACCAAAGTTTTTAGTAGTTTCTTTTGTCCTGAATCGTTTTTGGATGGTTTCGAACGAAACACCGCCACTGGAGGGAAGTCCCAACCTCGCAATAGAGTACCAAGTTTCAATGAAATGAGCAGTGAGAAACCCTGCGATCTTCAGCGAGCGCTCTTACAGTTACAAAAATAACTTCGTATCTATAGA